ACGCGGCGACCGAGCGGAGGCTCGCCGTGTCGTCCCGCTCTCGCTCCCGGTGCGGCGTGCCGTTGGCGTCGTCGCCGCCGCGGGGCGCGGAGGTCGGGCTGAGGCGCTGGCGCAGGGAGCGGGGCCGCGAGGGCGAGGCGTCGGACGCCAGCGAGTGGGTGGACGAGTTGGCCGTCAGCGGCAGGTCCGGGGTCGAGACGGCGGGGCTGTCGCCGCGGGAGAGGGCGTTGAGCCGGGGCGTCGAGCTCGGCGACGCCGATTTGCTGTAGATGCCGGCGGGCTGGAACGTGTTGAGGTTGGGGTAGGGCGCGTGGACGATGGTCTGGCGGCGGAACGACTCGTAGTGGCCGCTGTGGTGGCTGCCCTTGTGCGTGACGAGGGCGATGAGCTTGTAGCGGCGGCGGTCGGTCAGGCCGCCTAGGGGCAGGGACTCGGGGAAGGAGACCTTGGCTGAGTTCTTGGTCGAGGCCTGCGTCTCGTAGATGGAGCGCGAGAGGTGGATCGTGAGGACCTTGGGGAATTTTGTGATGCGGGCGGAGCGCGCGATGCGCCGCTTGGGTGCGTAGCGCGAGTCTGGCAGCGTCACGTCTTCGGGGACGTTGTCGGGGTCGAACGCAATGGCGTGCTGCAGTTTCTTGAGCTCTGCCGTCTTGGCGTGCCGGAAGCTGTCGGACGGCGACTTTTCAATCTCTTTCTTGAGCATTTCCTCGGCGTGCACGAGGCGGCACTTTTCGCACTTGAAGTCGTCAATGTACTCCGTCTTGAAGATCTCGTCAAAGCACGAGCTCAGCGTCGTCGACCTGACCTGCGGAACGCGAAGGGTCAGGGTCACAAACGTCTCGGTTTTCGGTGCCGACTTGTGGCCGCACGTCTGGCACTCGAGCTGCGACTCGTGCTGGCCCTCCATGGGGAAGCCCTCGTCCTCGTCCTGCAGCGCGTTCGGCACGACACCGTTGGTCTGTATCGTGGGTGGTGAGGGGTTGGCCGAAGAGTCGGTCCCCGTGGCGCTACCAGAGTTGTTCGGGTCTGCCGCAGCCGCCGCCGCCGCAGCCAAGCCTTCGAGCCTCTCCTGAATAGCGACGCCGTCGACGGGCTGCGAAGCAATGGTGCCCTGGGCGACGGCGTTCCTCGCGTGGGCCCTGGCGCGCTCGCCGGCGTGGTACTCGTCCTTGAGACGCTCGGCGACGATCTGCAGGAACTCCTGCGCATCCTGCTGCTGGCGACTGATGCGCTGCTTAAAGGCCTGCTCGAGGACCCTGACAAAGTCGGCGGCCGAGGTGCTCTTCTTGTAGATGGGCCTCTCGTTGAGGGCGTCGAGCATATCCTTGAGGCCCTGTGAGACGATGCCCTTTTGGAGGTTCTGCAGCTTCCACTGCGGCAGCGCCTGGCCTGCGGGCTGGACGAGATGGGCGTAGACGGCGGGGTCCTCGATGTACCGCCTGTGCGTCTCGCGGATCAGGTAGATGCGGAGGTCGCCCAGACCGGCGAGGGCCTGGAGGGTCGAGTTGATGAAGCAGTCGTTGGCATAGTTGCGCAGGCCAACGACGCCTTTTTTGCGTGAAGATGATGTGGCGGCCTCGTCAATGGCGAAATTGGGAGCAAAGACGTAGACGAGAGCGATGGCGGCGAGGGAGGCGCCAGCAGCGTAGGATATGGTGGTGATCTGTTTGTCGGGCATTTTGGAAGTTGGCGGAGGCGGACGCCCCAGAGGTGGAGGGGGAACGGGCTGTCGTCGGCGAGGGGAGGGTCACAGCCAGAGCAAGTTGAGAATGCAAGTCGGGAAGCAGAAAGGGGGGGGGGGGGAGAGCTCGGCAGGGCCGGAAGAATACTCAATGCCGATCGGAAGTATCGATCAAGGCAGAGCAGAAAGAGGTCGGCGGACTGACGTAGAGTGAAATGTCAGACTCGTCAGCAGAAGCATGCAACATGGTACCCAGGACGAGGAAATAAAAAAAATGCTCTGGCAATCTGTAGAGCGTCGTCGTCGTTGGGGCCAAGGACACCGGCGGACAAGTCGGGGAAGTAAGTAGAGGTCCGCGGCGGGTTGGCGTGAGAGAAAGAATCTGGAGAAAAAGCCGGGGATCCGACTAAACCGCGAGGGGGCAGGCTGACAACGGCGACAAAGAGAGACCCGAAGCAAGACGAGGCGAACGAAAGCTAGTCCCGTCTGTTCCTAGCACGAGGTCGGACCGAGAGCGATGATGACCTGGTGCCTGTTTCTCCGCACCGCCTCTTGTGGGCGTGCCTGTGCCTGTGCCTGTGCCTGTGCCTGACGTGGAGCAGCATCGGACAAGGGCAATTGGACAGAGATGGGGGGAGTCTGGTCGTTGTGGTGGAGGCTTGGAGAGCCAGGATGCCAGGATGGAAGCCTTGGGCTTGGGAGGGAAGGGATCTGGAAGAATCCGCCGCCCCACGTTTGCGTGTGCGTGCGATCTGACTGTCGGGTCTTCGGAACCAGGTGCCGACGGCTGACTCAGCAGGCCCCCATCAGGCTGCGGAGGGGATTATTCAAATGGCAACGCGAGGAACGACGATCGATACGGACAGACTACTCGTTTCAATTACGATCGCATCTTTCTCGACATCTCAAAATTCGTACCCTCGCATGCTTTGACATGCTTGACATGCTTGACATGCTTGACATGCTTGACATGCTTGACATGCTTGACATGCTTGACATGTGTGGCATGCTCATCATGCTTGACATGCTTTGATCCGCTCAGTTGGGCGCCACGTACTCATTGATCGTCGGCGCCGTGGCCAGGTCAATCTTGACCTTCCACTGGCTCGTCGCCTGACCGAAGCTCGCCTTGACCGCCTCGCTGCCGTACACGCGCATCTCCTTCTCGTACGCCTCGGTCACGCCCCGCCACTGCTCGCCGTCGCCGCGCTCCCAGGCTTCGACGAGGAGCCCGCCGAGGAGAGCGGCGTCGCGCACCGCCGTGTTCGCGCCGTTGCCGCCAGCAGGCGTCATGGCATGGATGGCATCGCCAATGACGGTCACGCGCGGCTCGTTCGTCCACGTGGGCACGCCGTTCGGGTCCGAGCATGAAATCTTCCAAAACGCCGCTTCCTGCTCGTTCATATTGTCGAACAGGGGCCTCACGCGCTCGTGCCAGTGTGCCGTCAGCGCCTTGGCGATCCGCGCCGCCGGTGCGCCCGTGATGGTGTAGTCGTCGCTCGGCGCCTTGATGACGCCCGGCGAACCGACCATCGTCCACCCAAAGACCAGGTTCGGGTCGTGCATGTCGCCGGCGCGCACGTTGGTGATGACAAAGACCATGCCGTCGTCGGGCTGCGTCGTGTCGTCGACGACGCGGAACACGCCCTCGCCGAGCCCCAGGAACGCCGTCGTCGGCGCCTGGCCGTGGATGCCGCGCGCGCCGAGGTCGTACACCTTGACGGCGCCGTCGGTGAGCTGCCGCGCCACGTCGCTGCGCACGCCCTCGCCGCCGACGAGCAGGCTGCCCTCCTCGCTCGTGCTGCCGTCGGCGAAGACGAGACGCACGCCGCCGTCCGTCTTCTCGTAGCCCTTGACGTGGTGGCTCCACCGCACCTTGTCCTCGAGGCCCTCGAGGAAGAGCTTGCGCATGTCGCCGCGCGAGATGCCGACGACCTTGCCGTCCCTGCTCGTCAGCGGCTCACGCCCCACGGCTGGCGCGCTGGTGCTGCTGAGCGTCTCGCCCGTGAGCGGGTCGATGGCCGAGACGCCGGCACCGCCCGTTTTGCCGCAGGCGTCGTAAAACTTCTGAAACGCCTGCGGGCCGAGGGCTGCCTCGATGGCGTCGAGCCCCTCGGCCGAGAGGCGCAGGCGGTAGCCCTGGGCGCGGAAGACGATGGACGCATCCCTCTCAAAGACGAGAACGGGAATATTGGCGCGGTGCAGGTAGTGCGCCAGTAGGAGCGCGGCGATGCCGCCGCCGGAGATGAGGATGGGCTTCGGCGCCATGAGGTTGAATGCGGGATGCAAGAGGAGGGTTAGGCAGCGATCAATGCCAGGAGGGAAATCTACTCAGGTGAGGCTCTGGATGGAGGATGTGGGATGGGGAAGGAGCTCTCAATGGCGTCAAGACACAAGGCAGGCAGGCACGTTGGCGAGGGGTTGCCGTTGACCACGAACGACGAGACACCAGCTTTGGTGCCGTGCCATCAGTAATATACGGCCGGCTTCGGCCAGGATCCGGAGTTCCGGTGGGTAAGCAGTCGTGAACCTTAATCATCAAAAGGCCGCGCGCGCGGTATACTTGCCAGCGAACTGCATTCAATGCGTCCAGAGCGCGCCGCGCGGGACCTCCTTACTACCTACACAGAGCTGAGCTCGCGACGTTATTGGACATGGACTAGATGTCGTCATGTGAGACAGATGACACCAGCCACCATGGCGGGGTAGCCTCGAGACTGGAGACAAGTGTGGCTGGCCATGCCTTATGTCAGCAATCCCATGCCATCCGGCACATCCCATCGAGGACATGCCATTCATGCCCCTTCCCCTTCACGTGCTTCCTTCCTCTCTCCAAGACCAGTCTTCGGATCTATTGGCATCTCCAAGAGTTCATTCCAAACCTTTTGAATCCATCTTCCATCTTTCCGCTCGGCAGTCTGATGACTTGATGAACTATATTTGTTGATTAATCATCGTGGAGCGAGCTCCGTCAAGCTGCGCGGGGCTGCATACTTAGTAGCACACCTAGGGTGTTTCCCCTCCACTGCCGAACCGAGGTCTGAACCAGGCAACCAGGGTCTCACGCCGACGATCCTCTTCAACTCTCGCCTTGCTGCTTTTCATCTGCTCGACATCGACCATCACTGTTGGAAATTCGTTGCAGCGTACGAGTCGCAGAGCATTTTCTCTTGCTCGCAGCCATCACAAGTCTCGGCCCATTTCAGCGTCTTGACAACCTTGACGACGAGGACAACCTAGACGACGAGAACAGTGCCGTCCATCCCTGCCAACACCACCGACCAGCACCACCCTCAAGCACCACCCTGCAGACAGCACCATGGCCGACGCCCTCTTCACTGTGCCCATCCCCGCCCTCGGTGACCACGTCGGTGGCTCCATCGTCTGCACGTCGCCTGCGCCCCTCGTATATCTCCTCACCTGGTCCTCGCCTCCGGACAACCGCCTGACGACGCCCTTCTGCCGCGCCTTCCTCACGGCCCTCGACATCATTGAGTTTTCTCACCCTGTCGGTGTCGTCGTCACGACCTCTGCCATCACCAAGTTCTACTCCAACGGCCTCGATCTCGACCATGCCTTCACCACGCCCGGCTTCTGGACAGACTCGCTCTACAAGCTCTACCACCGTTTGCTCACCTACCCCATGCCCACCGTGTCCCTCATCCCTGGCCACGCCTTTGCCGGCGGTTTCATGACGGCCATGCACCACGACTACCGCATCATGAACCCCAGCAAGGGCTTCCTCTGCATGAACGAGCTCGAGTTTGGCGCCCCTCTGAAGCCCGCCATGTCCTCCATCTTCCGCCTCAAGTGCACCTCGCCGCGCATCTACCAGGAGATTGTTCTCGAAGCCAAGCGCTTCCCGGGCCCTGCCGCCCTCGAGGCCGGTCTCGTGGACGCCCTCGGCGGCCTCGACGAGGCCCTCAAGCTCATCGCCGACCGCAAACTGACCCAGAGGGGCAAGTCTGGCGTCTACAGCGTGCTCAAGGCCGAGATGTGGAAGGAGAGCGCCTATCTGCTGCACCAGGAGAACTTTGAGACCACCGAGGCCATCTGGAACCGGAGGGAGAAGCTCGAAGCCGAGAGGATCGCGGCGGGGAAGAAGTTTGCTGCCGAGCGCAAGGCAGGCAAGGCCAAGCTGTAACAAAGCTGTAACCGTCGGAGATGTACGACAAGAAAACCCCAATGTAATCATCCAGGACCAATGAGTTGAACAATGCGCCGTACTTAAGCATGCAGAGGACCCCAAGGCTCATGAATCGCATCGCACCATTTTATTGTTGTTGCTTTCTTTTTTCTTCTCCTTTTCCGATGCTGTCAGCCTAGCTAATGTCGACGACCATGCGCCCACCCGAGATCTCGCCTTTTCGCATCCGATCGAGGCCTCTGTTCACGCCGTCAAAGCCCTGCTCCGCTGCGAGCACCTCGGGCGGCTTCACTAATCCGCTCTCCAGCAGCCTCTCGAGCCACAGCACGAGCGCCTCGCCGACAGCCGGCACCTCGTGGAAGATCTTGATGGGAACGGTATGGTACGCGACACCCTCGGGCGCCTGGCCCTTCGGCAAGCCCGTCAAGCCGACGAGATGGGCCGACTGACTCCTCTGCCTCCGCGGCGTATCGGGAGGGCTCGGCGGCGGTGTCGTCGTTGTCGTCTTTTCCTCCCCGACCTTGATGCCCTCCAGCTCATCGTCCCGTGTCAGCGCGTCCAGCAGCGACTTGGCCGAATCGCGACCCGTCGTGTCGAGTGCGAACCGGAGCTTCTTGCCGACGTTGGCGCGGATGATCTCGACGGCCCGCGCTGGCGAGTGGCTGTCGACGAGGAGGTCTGGGCGGAGGATCTCGTGGTCCGCCAGGCGCAGGCCGTGCTTGGCCTTGTCGACGATGGTCACGACGCGGAGGCCCGCCAGACGGGCTAGCTGGACGGCGAGGTTGGCTGATGTCGACGAGCCTGGAGTCCGTGTCAGCATGTTGTTTCAACGAGTTGTTTTTTCCACAAGACTCACCTCCCCAGATGGCCAGCCAGTCGCCCGGCACTGCCCGCTCCCGGTCCTGGATGCCCGAAAGACATTCCTGCCTGACATCTTGCGGCAGCAGGTCCGGCTCGACCGACCGTACAACCTGCAGCAGGTCGGGCCCGTCGAGGATGCTGGAAAAGTCGACACCCATGCACACGCCAAGCGACAGGACGGCCGCCACGTAGGCCACGCCGATCGTGGCACCCGGCTGTCTCGGGACGTTCGGCGGGATGCGAACCGTGTTGAAGTCTGAAGACACGACGTATTCCTGAAAGCCGGCCTTGCGCAGGTCTCGGTAGTCGGTCGAGATGACGAGCACCTGGTCGCCTTCACGTAACCTCGAGCCAGGCTTGGAAGGCTTGACAACGCGGCCGACGAGCTCCCTGCCAGCGATGTACGGCAGCACTGGAATTCCAAAATTGAAGTCGCTGGGGCTCCTAGTCAGCGACGGCACTGCAGTCAGGGCCTCTTTTTCTTGAAAGGGGCTTACGGTGCCTTCCAGTCGATGGGGTTCAAGCCGAACGTCTCGGCCCTCACGAGAACTTCATTCTCGCTCTGAACCTCTGGTATCGCATAGCCGGTTGTGACTTCGTACGGCTTCTTCGGCCCATGCAGCAGCAGGACCGTCTGGCTGCTGGGAAGATCAATATTTGACATGGTGGTGATGGGAGATGCCGAACAATATGGTACGGGATGCAAACACTACCATGAGATACACCCTATCCCGCCAGTTATACATTCAAAAGTCGCATTTGGGGGGAAAGGGGGTGTTCGTCCGCGACCCTATCACCGACATCTATCCAACCTCTTCTTTGGGGAGAGGGGGGCCGCAGTCGGAGCCATGTCGATCGGAGGGGCAATAGGGCGACACGCAGGTGAGGCATTGCGTGCTCCCCAAGTCCCGCACCAGACAAATTGCGTGATAGATTACCACCATGGCGCTGTTGTCCTTCGGCAGTTCACCCGCCCTCGAAATCATTCAAGGCCGAACTTCGACTCAACCAATCCTGAATCAGGCAATGAGCGTGGGATGGCTTACCAACAAACGGCAACACGGGCAGGATGGAGGGAGGGGTCCAGGGTTCCCCGGTTATCACCATGCCACCATGTACGATGACCACTTCCACCCCACGTGCCTACCAACAAACGACAGGGTTCTGCATGAACAAGTCGTCTGCTTGCTGTCGCGCGGGGGCTGCATAGGTGAACTAGGTAGAACGGGGATATGTTTTATTCAGGCGCTTTAGTTCGTCATCGCCTGTAGGCCTCCCTCAAGCGTTTAGCCGCTGGCCTCGATTCCAAAATCGTCGCTACGCCTCCGACATCCAGGACAGCCTGGCTGTCGGCACGCGCGCGACGCGATCCCTAGGCGGGCGGCCCGTCCTCCTCGAACACGTCGTACTTGTACCGCGACCCAGGATGGTCATCCCTGAGCCCCTTCTGGCCCCTACCGTACACCCGCTCGCGCGCCGTCAGCTGCTCATCCGCGGCCGGCGCCTCGGGGTAGAGCCCCCTGCGGCGGAGCTCCGGCACCAGCAGATCGACAACGTCCTCAAACGTCCCCGGCGTTGTGACGTAGCCAATGTTGAACCCGTCGAGGTCGCCCTCCCGAATCCAGTGCTCCATCTCATCGGCCACTTTTTTCGGGCTTCCGACCGAGACGGGGCCGAGACCACCGATGGCGGCCCTCTCTGCGATGACGCGAGGCGTCCACTTGGGCACATGCTCGCTTGTCGTCGTGAACGCGTCCAGGATACTGCGCACCTTGTGGGCCTCGAGCGAGTCGGCCGCCGTCACCTCTTGGTCGAGTGGAATCTTGGACAGGTCGATGCCCGTCCAGCCGCTGACGAGCACGAGACCGCCAACGGTGGATGCGTACTTTTTGAGCTCAGCCAGCTTTTCTTGGGCCTCCTCGTCCGTGCGGCCGACGATCGGCGTGAACGTTGCAAAGAACTTGACAGACTGCGGGTCGCGGCCGAGGCTGGCTGCCTGTCGTCGGATCTCCTGCACCTTGGGCTTCAGGAGCGCCGGCGAGTGCGAGGACACAAAGATGCCCTCGGCGTGCGAGGCCGCAAAATTGGACCCTGCCGAAGATGTGCCCGCTTGGAAGAGGAAAGGCGTCCTCTGCGGTGAAGGGTCCACGATGTGCCTCGTGTCGAGGTGGAAGAACTTGCCATGATGGTGAATCGTCCGGATCTTGTCGGGATCGGCGTAGCTGTCGTTTTCGGCATCTGGGTTAATCGCATCGTCCGCCCACGAACCCTCCCAGAGCCTGTTTTTTGTGTTAGTCTGAAGATCAGACGAGTGCCGTGCTCGGCCACCGCTCACTTGTATAACACGCGCAGATATTCGTCTGCCTGCTCGTACCGCTCGTCATGGGGAGTTGGGCTGTCGATGCCAATGGCTTTAAAGGCGCTCTTCTTCCAGCTGGTCACAATGTTCCACCCAATTCGGCCGCGTGTGAAGTGGTCGAGACTCGAAAACCTCTTTGCAAGGAGAAAAGGTGGTTCGAACGAAGTCGACGCTGTTATGGCAAAAGAGAGATTCTTCGTAACAGCAGCCATGGCGCTAATTGGCTAGACTTTTCGTTAGATTGGCTCATCCTGAAAGTAAGAACTTGAGAGCTGCGCTGAGCGTACGATGGTCGGGTCTGTCATGGGCCATTGTGCGGCGCGGCGAATACAGTTGTCCAGACTGCCTTCATATGTGTCATACCTACGATTCGCTTGTCAGTTGACTCTTTTCGCCGTTCTGGGTCAGGACGGTCTCACCCTCCGTAGGTATCCGCCAGGAAGAGAGCATTGATGCCGCCACGCTCCAGCAGCTTTGCCAGATCTATCCAGTATTGCAAGTCTCGCTTGCTCGCGGATTTGTCGATGGGATTCTGGAGAAACTTGAGCTCCCAATTCAATCACAGCTCAGAGTGCGAGCAAACCTTCCACTGACCGGGCGAGAGATGGCCCACGGTCGACATGTCAAACGCGTTGAGCAGAATATGCTTCTTGGCTTCGCTCGACCCGTCCACAGGGCTCGAGGTGCCATTTCCATGAATGGGTAGAGACGTCATTTTGCGACTGTTGCTTTCGGATCAAGGACGCGGACGTGCAGGTTCGCGTCGAGACATGTGTGCAAGGCAAGCCTTTTCTTCAAGTACGTTATGATGCATTGCATCTTTTTTTTTTTTGGACCGCCAGCGGACTTGTCAAAAACCGCTTGTGCTAGATGACGCCTTCCGCTCAATAGCCTCACCATTCGAGCATATCGTCGCGCGAACGCATCGTGACCCAATTGTTGCCCGCTTTACCGTGGGGAGCCGACGCGGGATGAAGAGCGCCTGAATCCCCAATCCTCGCGTGGCACGCTCGCGCCATTGCGGGTACGGATGGTGCCATCGGCCCCAAGAGGGCGCGGCCTCTGTCGGCTTCAACGGCGCGACCGTCAGGGCGGGACGCTGCGGCGCGCGGGAGCTTGCTCTGTCATTGTTCTATTCGGCAGGCCTGTCCAGTGAGGTCGTGTGCTATTCCTTGGTTCACGTCCTTGTCATGCGGAGAGTGACGTTATGCCCGCGGGATGGAGTTCCGTCATGAATGTTGATTGATGGCTTGCGGACGGAGGCTACTATTTGACAGGTCACTCTGCATCCTTGCTTGATCCCTCAATACTGCCTATTCTGGGCTCTAGGGCCGTCTACTATTGCCAGCTTAACCCCCACTATCCTTCGTGTCTCGGCCTCCGGGGCTCACTCGCTGGAATCCCTTTTACCCGACACGCTCACCGGCGTGCTTTTGTTGCTTTTGTTGGCAGCGGTTTCCTGGACTGGGGCCGCCTCTTCAGCAAATGCCGTGGTGTCTTCAATCTTGGGGCTGGACGGTGTCAGCGAAAACAAGCAACATCAAAAAGGTGGCGGACTTGGGGGCGGACATACTCTCGACGCTTGAGATGCAACCGCAAAGCGTGTGTCGCAATGATAAGAAGGATCGCCGAGCCCAACGTGAACGGAAAACCCTTGGGATACCTAGGCGCCTCGACGGTCGGGAATACGAGCAAGGGCGTCCAAGCCGTGGACGACTGTGAAATGGCGTTGATGAGCACGAGGGTAAAGGACCGCTGCGCAGGTGACGAACGCAGCTGTGTATTGACCCAACCGTGGAAGACACTCGACATCGAGTAGGAGGCGTAAATGGTCGAGAAGGCAAACCACTTTGCAGACTCGGGAACATCCCAGATAACGAGAATAATGAGGCCGAGAATGTTCCACACGTGGGCCATGGTAATGGCCCATGCGGGACCGAGGACCAGATCCGATGCAAAGCACACAAATAGGGTATAAAAAATACCCAAACCGGGTGCGATAGTACCAAGCTCGTTGACTCGCGCCGCAGAGTATCGACCCAAGCTCTTAATCCAGAGCAGGAAGGATCCAGAGCTTGTGTGGATTCCGGCATTCCAAAAGAGCACGTCGATAAGGATAATTGCCCAGAATTGCGGCTTCAGGAAAATCTTCTTGAGATCCTGAAGCTTGAGCTTGCCGTGAGATGCATGGCCAGCACGCTGAAGACGACTCTCGCCAATCTTGATGTCCTGTTCCGTCAATACGCGACGGTTTGGCTGATCGGGCGTGCCGGGGATGACAAAGTATCCGAGGATGCCAACGGGAATGGTGATGATGGCACAGATGATGTACATCCAGCGCCATCCTTCCAAGCCGTTGACACCATCGAGCCGCGCTGAGGCGCCGGCTTGGATGAGACCTGCTGTCAAGGTTCCGAGCGACAGACCAGTGTAGAAGATGCCACCACGACGCGCAATCTCGTCGCCGCGGTACCATGCGCCGAGTACGTAATGGATCAAGGGGAAGAATGCTGCTTCAAAAAAGCCCACAAGAAACCGGTACGCAGCAAGTTCGGGGAAACCTTGGACGCGATATTGCAGCAGCGTGAAGATGCCCCAGCTTATGTCGAGGAAGGGGATCAACCAGTGCATCGGGATGTAGGTGACCAGGAAAAAGAATGGAATCTGTCCTGTGACGGCGCCAATAATGTAAAAGGTTTGCAATTGCACGAGCTCATTGCCGTGGAAGCCGAGGTCTTCCTTCAGGCCTGCCACATAGGCATTGTCTGTGTTCAGAGTCAGCATGCAATGCATATGAGTGGCGTACGAGCCTCTATTTACTCAGGTTGGACTATAGAAATGTTAGCCAGTAAGACACTAAGAGTATGTTTACTTTAATGGCAGGAATCAACATATACCTGGTCAATGTACTTGACCCAGTACGCCAGAACAGCGTAAGGGACGATGAGGGCATCGATTTTACGAATGAACTTGCGCTCTTCCTTGGTGTCCGTGTCCGAGTACCACCTGATATGGTACCACTTCTTGGCTGGAGAGCTGGCCATGATGTCCAGATGTCAAGATGTTCAACCTCTTGCTGCCAAAGAAAGTTATTCCGTAAAGAGGTCTAGATCCCGAGAAAGCTTCACCATCTGCACAGCAATTCGAGAACACGGCGCCGCCTTCTTATGATACCCTCAAACCCACGTGCGAAACAAGCATGTCACCACGCGACATCTCTTCTGTCCGACTCAACTAGCTTGTTCGCCATGCATCGAGGCGTCCTTGCGTCAACGACAAGCCAGGGTGGCAATCTTGAAGACATCAATTCAGCCAGTGGAAAGTTCATGGTGATCTTTCCAAGCACCCACCAGCCTCCTGCTACGGCGGTGTTGCCCAGCGTTCGGGTCATGGCACCATCGAAGCAGAATTGATGTAACCTTTCGAGGGGAGACAAGAGTCGGGAGCTGCCCGACATGAGAGCTGCAACGAAACTGACACGGCCCAATGACCGAGGGATCAGTTGAACAACGCACACTGGCCGCAGCCACCATGCAGGCAAGGTTCAGTGCAAATACGACTTGGTGAGCACCAACCTCCCAATGTAATTGCCAAGATGCCGAAAGTGATCCGTCGGAGATTATGGCGTGCGCTGTGTTGAGGTCTGTGGTGCGCCGAACCGGAGTCTGGGTGATGCGACAAGATGTGGGGGGGATGGCGTGCTCGGAGGTCACATAGGTGAGACGACGCGGCGCACGGCGGCGGCGAGTCGAACGGCAATGCTACCGATGGCGAGCTTGAATGGGTCGATCTACAAGGTCCATGGGGATCGGCATGGTAAAAGGGTGGTGTTTCGCGGGGTATGGGCTTCTTATCTAGCGATCCAGATGCTATACTCGTTGACCTTGGCCTTTTTCATCAAGACCAAGTACCAAATCTCTCTTGGTCACCACGGAGAGAAACATCATTGGAACACTATGGGAGACTATCACGCTTCATCAGACAGTGGTGTCGAGGGTGTCGGTCCCGATGAAAAACCGCAGCCCGTGGCCACGCATGTGAAGCCGGGCCAACGCTTGTCAGCCACGTCGTTTGAAGAGACGAAACGAAAGATTGATGCCATCGCCGAGTCGCTCTTCCAGCCACCAAACTACAGCAACCCAGGCCAGAAGCTCATAGATCGCTACATTGACGAGCCTCGAGAGCTTCGCGTGGCTGTCATTGGCGCTGGACTGAGTGGCACACTTTCTGGAATTCTACTACCAGCAAAGGTACCGGGTATCAAGCTCACCATCTTTGAGAAGAACGCCGATGTGGTGAGTTTACGCTCGAAAGAAGACAATTGACTTTGGCTGACCTGCGCCAGGGCGGAACTTGGTTCGAGAACATATACCCTGGTGTGCGATGCGATGTTCCTGCACACGTGTACCAGGCGACATTTGACCCCAATACGCAATGGTCGGAACAGTTCGCTCAGGGCGCCGAGATTCGCAACTATTGGCAGGGGCTCGCAAAGAAATACGACCTATACAAGTTTCTACAGCTGTCTCAGCGCGTTGAGGGCCTGAACTGGGACGATGTGAAGTCCGAGTGGCAGATCAGTGTCCGGGACCTCAAGACAGACGTACTGCGGACCGAGACGACCGATTTCGTACTCACAGCAATCGGTCGTTTCAACGCCTGGAAGTTGCCTGACTATCCTGGTATCAAAGACTTCAAGGGAACCCTGCGACACGCCTCGAACTGGGACCCCGAATTTGATCCACGCGGGAAGAACATCGCCGTCGTTGGCAACGGCGCCAGTGGCATCCAGCTCACTTCGCATCTCCAGCGCGTGGCTGGGCGGCTTGACCATTATGCCCGAAACAAGACCTGGGTGACCGCCTCTTTTGCTGGTCATGACACTTCACTCGACCCGCTTCCAATCTCACAAGAGCAGCGTGATGCCTTTAAGCAAGACCCAGACGCGTACCTGAAATATCGTAAGGAGCAAGAGGGCCAGTATTACCGTGGATTCAACGGCTATCTAAAGGGTCACGAGACAGTCGAGTCTCAGCGCGAGTCCTTCAAGAAGGCCATGAACGACCGTCTGGCCAAGCGCCCTGATCTCGTCGATGCCCTCATTCCTGACTTTTCTCCACACTGCCGTCGCTTAACACCAGGACCCGGCTACCTCGAGGCTATCACGGCAGACAATGTTGACTATATCCGTACCAAGATCAAGCGGGTCACTCCAACGGGCATTGAGACGGAAGATGGACGCCACCGTGAGGTCGACGCTATCTTCTGCGCTACCGGTGCCAACGTCGACATGGTGCCCCCTTTTCCCATTGTTGCCCGCGGCGAGGATCTCTCTCAAACCTGGCGCGAGGGTGGAAAGTACGGGTTTCCGTACACATATCTCGGTGCTGCGGCACCCGACTTTCCCAACCTTCTCTTTGTCCATGGACCAGGTGGTTCAGGGCGATCAGGAACGGTGCCGCACAATGTGGAGAATCAGGTTGTCTTTTACGCGCGAATCCTGCGCAAGGCAGCAAGGGAGGGCATTCGCACGATTCAACCAAAGAAAAGAGCAGCTGAACAGTACACCCAGTGGTCAGACGCCTTCTTTGCAACAACGGTGCTCTCGGAAGGGTGCAGCTCCTGGTACAATGGCGGCAAGCCGGGGGCCAGGATTCACGGTCTCTGGCCAGGCAGCGCATCGCTTGTGACCATGGTTCAGCGAGAGCCAAGGTGGGAGGACTGGGAGTACGAGTACGTAGAAGAGAGCGGAGGCAACCCGTTTCTGTGGTACTTCGGAAAGGGCTGCACCAAGAAGGAATTGACGGAGGGCACCGATATGACAGACTATTTAGTACGAGCGGACAAGGTTGACCTGAGAGATGTTCACGAAGGATGGTACTCAGTGCCGTAGGCTCTGCTGGTCATCTTGAAGAATAAATTGTAACGTTCAAACCTCCGTGCCTTCATCCCAAAGTTGATGGCTCGCCAACTCGATGCATGCCTTTGCTGCCACGCGACCCCTGTCTGTCCCTGAGTGCGGTACCGGACTCCTGGGATATATCCGTGAAACCCTCAAGCAAACTATTACTTTTAGCACAATGCCATCATCACACCCGTCATGTTGAGTCACCGGAACTCTCCGATCTCAGCTCATGCCATGCGACATATCGAGCCCTAGTCTAAATGTCTCAACCGCTTGAGCTTCTCCGAGATGCAGACCTTCCTAGCATCAAGAGCTTCAGATTCCCTAATCGGCAGGTTTCCCATCGGTAGGACCCTGCAGAAAATACATCACATCTCGTTGTGGAGACCACTCTGTTGCAAGGGTAGGCGTTAGCTGCGGTCTGGACAGGGTGGTCGGCCATTACGTGCTGGTCCGGCGAATGTCGCAACCTCCCCGGTCTTGGCTGCTCGACCTACCCTGGAACATGGCGGAACCGTGACCGGAGCTGTCTCCGAACAGACGGGTCAACTGCCGTGGGTGCCCAACACGTGGGAGCTGTGGCCCGGGCGACCCTGATCTTTGGTGTCAAGCTCTGACAGCCTCCTAAATGCCTTGACATAAAGTCCAGGCGTCAAGACCGATTTCTTCCATGTTGCCGATCACTGAGTCTTCCATATTTTCTCAAATCTATTCGCAAGATGTCCGACTCTCAGGAACTCCGCCAAGATCAGGTTGCTCCTCCCAAAGAGCAGCAGCACCCAGGTAGGCTGGGCAGATACACCTCAGACGAAGCAGTCGTTCTAATCGTGCATTGCAGTCAGATGGCACCGCTCGACCTTTTACAACATGACCATCCTGGGTCTCTGCAACTTCGCCGCGCCCGGCATCTGGGGAGCCATGAACTCCCTGGGTGCAGGCGGCGCTGCGTCTCCTAAGCTCGTTAACGCCGCCAATGCGCTGACGTTCTGTCTCATGGTCGTCTCGTGCTATTTCTCGAGCGTGATTGTCCACTACATCGGTATCAAGGGTGCTCTCATCTTCGGAACGTAAGAACGCGCACACTTCTTCGCGTGTTGATTTACTCGCTTACACTTTCAGCGTTGGTTATGCGCCGTTTGCTGCCGGCCTCTACACCAACAACCGTTACGGCACTGAGTGGCTCATGCTTGTCGGCGCTGCTGTCTGCGGTATCTCGGCTGGTGTCTTCTGGATGGCGGAGGCTGCGATCGCCATTGCCTACCCTGAGCCGTGGAACCGCGGGAAGGCCCTCGGCTACTGGCTGACCTACCGCCTCGGCGGACAGATCCTCGGTGGTGCGATCAACCTGGGTCTCAATGCTGACCGAGACCAAGCCGGCAGTGTCTCGTACACCGTTTTCATCGTCTTCATTGCCATCCAGGCGGCTGGTCCATTTGTCGGCTTCTTCCTGAACAAGCCAAGCAAGGTCGAGCGCAGGGATGGCAAGAAGGTGAACTTGTCCATCGTCGAGAACCCCTGGTACGAGATCAAGGCTACGACAAAGAATTTCATGAAGCCTAAATTTCTTCTCCTCCTCCTATGGATTGGACAGGCTGTCTTCGCCGAGGCCGTGTATTTCACATATATCGCTCGTGAGTTTTCTTGGGTGTCAAGATTGCGCATCATAGCATCTAATAGGACGCAGTGTGGTTCTCTGTTCGTGCGCGTGCGCTGGGCTCTTTTCTGTCTGGTATCGTGGCCGTTATCTCGGGCAACCTTCTGGGTGTAAGTAAGGCCTGTATACTCTGGATCAAACCAAGCTGACGGATGCAGCACTGGCTCGACCGCACCAAGATCCCTCTCAAGACGCGCTCTCGCGGCGCATTCTGGTTCATTGTCATCACTCAAGGTGCCTGGTGGACGTGGGCTACGGTCATGGCCACCAGATTTCGCGAAAGTCGTCCTACCTATGATTGGAGCAGCCCCGGCTTTGGCGCTGCCTTTGGCGTCTACATCTTCCTGACGATTGGATTTCAAATCAACTACCTGTTCCTGTAAGTACCAATCTCCTACAGATCTCGGCAATCTCGCTAACGGACCAGCTACTTCTTCGTCACGAACCTGGCCGAAACCGAGGACCAGGTCATTCGCTACGCCGCTCTGCTCCGTGGTACCGAGTCCGCGTGGCAGGCTGTCAGCTACGGCCTGACCTCTATTCCCGTCTTTGGCGAGATTGGTGGTATTTACATGAACTTCAGCTTGTGGGCTCTTGCTATCGGTCCAGCCTGGCTTGTTCTCAAGCACTTTGGTAACGGAGCCGAAAAGGGGATCCACCATGAGGCACAGATCACTCAGGCAGGCGACGGCGCGGTGTCGAGCGAGACGCAGAGCGAGGACGGCGAGGGCAAGAAAACTTTCGCTGGCACGGAGAGCAAGACTGGACTGAATTGATTTGACTACGGACGCCGATCACAGCTGCAGGGTTGTCAAGGGGACTGGGGTCGGAACCTGAAAGTTGGAGCTGGAGAATCGTCGGCGAACCTGCTTCGCCTCCATGTTAGCTCTACAATAGAGGACCAGTCTATTTTATCCGACCCAATTACACCGATTCTATTACTTTGTATCATGCGATGTGGTATCAATTGCCTGTGTGGCCAACTTGTGACAGGCTCTTCGTTGACGGATGCCCCAAGACGGACTAACCCCTTGTCTCGATAATGATGCTCAACCCCACGCCTCATGCATCTTTCAATCCACGAAGGAGATTCCGGCACTCATGCATCCCTGACCCGGCAGATGCAAGCCGACAGTTATTTTACCGATCCTGCGGGCTGCCTTGAACCCGACACGCGTCTGGACATGTCACCTTTGTGCCTAACATGGCGTCATCTGCATGGTCTGTTTGCCAGTACCCGTGATTGTTTCGTCTGCCCGAAGATCAATAGCTTCGACGCCACGAAAGACGTCAACGCACATGGAACCCCCACAGGTTTGTTATCTGGAACGTTACCCCTCGCGCTTGAGCTGTTCAACACGAGGCTACGGAGGGCTGACGCGACCCGGAGCTCCGATGGCACCATCGCCCCACTCATGCGGGGCCGGCGCCCGCCGGCCGATGATCGGGGCTGTCAGCCATCGGCGTTGTCGGCGTAGCACGCGTTCTGGCGTGGGCTACTGCATGGTAGCTTTGGAAGATTGAAGCGAGCGTGACGCGCTTTCCCTCGGCTGATTCTAAGGTTCTGTTGATCGTGTTCAAAACGTGAATCTTCGCAGGTTTATCCCTTAGACACCACACGTTTTGTATTGCCTTGACTGCCGTTCGATTACTGCCAGTGTCAGTCGCATCTATAGTTACATTTGCATCCTGTCGCAAGTACTCACGAAAACATAGAGACAACAATCATCATGGCCGACGCCAACAATATCCCGCCCTCCGGGGCCACCCCGAAGAAGAGCCTCATCGTCAACGCCTTTGTCGAGATGTGCAGTGGCCACCAGTCCCCCGGTCTCTGGCGCCATCCTGACGACCAGTCTCACAACTTCAACTCAACGAAGCATTGGGTTGATCTCGCAAAGCTCCTCGAGAAGGCAAAGTTCCACGGAGTCTTCATTGCCGATGTCCTGGGTGGCTATGACGTCTACAACAAGTCGCTCGAGCCAGCCATCACGTCTGGTGCGCAGTGGCCCGTCAATGAGCCATTGGCGGTTGTGTCAGCCATGGCGGCCGCGACGGAGAGCATCGGGTTCGGTGTTACAGTGTCCACGACCTATGAGCAGCCATATCACCTTGCTAGGAGGCTCGCAACATTGGATCACCTGACGGGAGGACGGTGAGTCTGCCCTGTTTTCCGCGAGAGTAGAGAAGGTGCTGACAATAAATCCGCAGTCTCGGCTGGAACGTTGGTGTTGTCCTGCCCACAGTTCTGATGAGCCTTCAACTGACATGTGCAGATTGTCACCAGCTACCTCGACTCGGCCGCGAAGAACATGGGTCTCACCGAACAGCCCCAGGTATGCTTCCCTGCTCATAGAACGGCATGAGTCCACTGACACTCCCAGCACGACGACCGCTACGCCCAAGCGGAAGAGTACATCCGCGTGGTCTACAAGCTCCTCAACTCCTCCTGGCGCACCGATGCCGTGATCCTCGATCGCGCTCGCGGCATCTACACCGACCCCGCGCTCGTGCGCCCCATCAACCACGACGGCCGCTTTTTCAACGTCCCCGGCCCGCATATCACCCAGCCCTCGCCGCAGAGGACGCCGCTGCTGCTGCAGGCGGGCGCCTCCCGTGCCGGCAAGCAGTTCGCTGCGCAGCACGCCGAGGCCGTTTTCGTGTCGGCCCACGCGCCCGCCGTGTGCGCCAAGAACGTGGCCGAGATTCGCGCCCTCGCCGAGTCCGGCTACGGGCGCAACGGCAAGGACATCAAGGTGCTCGCGCTCGTGACGCCCATACTCGGGCGCACGGAGGAAGAGGCGCAGGCCAAGCTCGCCGACTACAGGCAGTACGCGTCGCTCGAGGGCGCGCTGGCGCTGTTTGGCGGGTGGACGGGCATTGATCTTGGCCAGTACGGCGACGAGCAGGAGCTGCGCCAGGTCGAGAGCAACGCCGTACGGTCGACGGTGGAAGGGTATGCCCGATTCTCGCCGGGAACGGCCAAGTGGACCAAGCACACGATTGCTGAGCATGTGAGCATCGGCGGCAATGGCCCTGTGCTTGTCGGTACGGCGGAACAGGTGGCTGATGGTTTGGAGACTTGGGTGCGGGAGGCGGATGTTGATGGCTTCAACTTTGTGAGTTTCCAAAGTGAATGCTTGAATGAATGTAGTCACTAACCTTGCTAGGCCTATGTTCTCTTTCCCCAGTCCTTTGAGGACATCATTGAGCTGCTGCTGCCCGAGCTGCGCAAGCGCGGCCTCTTCTGGGACGACTACGCCGTACCGGCGGGCACATACCGCGAGAACTTCTACCGACGCGAGGGCCAGAAACAGCCTCTGGATGAGCATGTCGCGGCGTCTTACGTGTGGAAGGAGGGCGTGTCAGCAGAGGAGGCTGTTATTCCGGCAGAGCCCTCGACGCCAAAGGTAGGCTGATATACAACACGTGTAGACAAAAAGACACATCGAGCCATGATTTGAACAAGTAAATTCGAGAAATGTCTATGACAATGACGGCTTAGATCAAGTCTGTGATCCTAAGCGGTCCGTCAGCTCCGTAGAGCTCTACCAAAACTTTGTGAACCATTTCTGCAACGAAAACTGGTCACTGACTGCCTCGCACCTCCCTACCTCTCTCGTCACGTCGTATTTAGAAGCTCTTGACCTTCTGCATGCTGCCCTCCTCTAGAAGCGCCTTGTGCATGTCGAAGCTGTTGAACAGCAGGTGTGGCTCGTGGCCCCAGCCCTTCTTGAGGCACTCAAACTCGGCCTTGTCGAGGTAGCGCTCCAGGATGGGCTGGTATACGGGGTGGGCGCACTTCTTGATGATGACTCTCGCCCTCTCGCGGGGGCTGAGACCACGCACGTCGGCGAGACCGTTCTCCGTGACGATGACGTCGAGGTCGTGTTCCGTCTGATCGACGTGCGTGCACATGGGCACGATGCAGCTGACACCGTGGGGGTCGGTCTTGGAGGGCCTTGTGCTGGGGGTGTGCATGATGGAGTACTTGGAACTGCGGAGGAAATCGGCGCTGCCTCCGAGACCGTTGAGCATGCGGCTGCCCATGACGCAGGTCGAGTTGGCGTGCGCATACATGTCGACCTCGACAGGGGTGTTCATGCCAATGACACCAAGGCGGCGGATGATTTCAGGCGAGTTGGACACTTGTTGGCTGCGGAGAAGGAGTTTGCCGTGGTAGTCCTCCCAGTTGTCGTAGAAGCGGCGGAAACCATCGGGAGAGAAACGGATCGACGTAGCGGTGGCAAAGTCAAGGCGACCAGAATCGAAGAGGTCGAGGAAGGTGTCCTGGATGACCTCGGTCCAGACCTTGAGGTTCTTGAAGTTGGATTCGGAGAGACCTCCAATAACGGCGTTGGCAATGTTGCCAATACCGGACTGTAGAGGCAGCAGGGACGCGGGCAGTCGGCCGCGCGAAACCTCGTGCTCGAAGAACTCAATCAAGTTGTCGGCGATAGCTTTGCTGCCGGCATCGGCGGGTGTGTTGGGGGACGTCTGGTCCTGGTAATCGGACTCGATGATGCCCACGACCTTTTCCGGGTCAATAGGAATGGATGTGGAGCCGATTCGGTCCTCGACACCCATGATAAGGTAAGGCTTGCGCTTGGGGGGAAGCTCAGTCATGGTGATGTCGTGTAGGCCCTCAAAGCTGGGCAGCGATGTGTTGACCTCGATGATGATCTTGTTGGCCATCTGGATGAGCTCGGGCGTGGCGCCGACGGAGGCACCTGGAACGATGCTACCGTCTTCCATAATGTCGGTCGCTTCGACGACGACAACGTCGAGTTTGTCGTTTGGCCTGTCCTTGGTGTAGAAGCCGTACATGAGATCGACGGGAAACATGGACAGGTGCTTGTCGAAGAATGAAATGCGACCCTCGTTGATGCCCTTGGCGATGGACTTGCCGACCTGGTGGGGGCTTCGGCGGTCAATCATGTCGAGACCAGCCCAACGGTCTTCCGTCTCAGCACCGGATGAGGCGCCCACGAATAGTGAGTACTTTAACTTTCCCTGGAGGTTGTTCTGCTCGACGTGATCGGCGAGGTAGGTGGGCATCTTCTTGGGGTAGCCGACACCGGTGAAGCCAGACCAGCCGATGTACGCGCCATTGGGGAAGTGCTGAAGGAGCTTATCGGGTTGGGTCAGCTTCTTGAGCATGGAAGGGCGGCGTACGCGGGCCTTGAGGGCCGCCGAAGCGATTGGTGAGGCCATTGGCGCTGCGCGACTGGCTTCCCAGTTGTTCAGTGGTGGAGGGGAGAGGGGGGTTGTCCGTCGGAGCAAGCTGTCCGCGTAAGGTCGACCAGCAGCAGCTTCCAACAGGCAATCCGACAGGCAGCAGACGAGCTATTCGGCAGAGTTGAGCGGGAAAGGAACGAAGAGTCGCCCCGGGGCAGCCGCCAAGTGGGAACGAAGCAAGCTTTATATTGTGGTGTTGCTCAGGGCGCCATCAGCCCACTTCCAAAGACCTGTGACGTATTGGTGCTGTCGGCGGGCAGCTGGCGACTGGGTGCTGAGCCCAGTCAACTCGAAGGGAGGCCCAGGATAGCACTCAATTGACCAATCATGATGGTTGTCTTTCGAGGGTCGCGTCGCCCTGGGACGTGTCGCCAGGTGCCAAGATGGCCCGGCTAAGCAAACGGGGGTTAGAGCTCTGAAGGCGGACTTGAGGGAGCTCCAGCGCATTGATTGACAGGCGGGTCTTCTTTGAAACATCCGTAGATGCGAGCAGCTTTCTCGGTCCAGCTCGGCCGGACGAAGCTCGGCGAGCTGGGGTTGGCTGAGCTGGCCAACGTCCCCACTGTTCCCGGTGGTCCGGACGAGCGGTGCTGTGCTTGGGCCGTGGCTGTTGCGGCACGGGCAAAGGAAGAATGTCGGGAGACTCGAGATCGCGATAGTGACGGTCCAAATGTCGATGATATTTGAGGTGTTGTCGATGGCAAGATCATGGTGTTCTGGGTCCCAACCTTACCTGAGGTAGGTACCTCAGGTAGGTACCTAAGGTACCAGGCAGGCAAGAACAGTCGCCTCAGCCACGCTGACCGAGATTGTGGCGCTTCACGACTTGACCGAGACTGTCCAGCTCACCGGCCTCTTCACACCGACAAGGGGGTCCGTGTTGTCGCTTTGTATGGACACTCACCCTTGGCTTTTGGTGCAGTCTCATAGCACAATTCGTATTCCAGAGGTCAACTGCGTGGCTCACTGGCTCAATTTTGATTCGCGGTTGTGACACGCAACAGATCAGCAAGTACCTTGCTTATACGAGTTCTCCTTTCAAAATGCTGGCCGAAGGAGGTGCAGGAAGCGGATCTGAATCATTGTTTGCCCTCCATTCCCGTCTGTTGAGCAGGCATTTCGAGCACCAGCCCATAGGGGAGCTCAGGGAAGGACGGCTCAAGCGGTTTTGGAACGGTCTGTAGCCAAGTGATGGAAGTAATCCAGTCCCTTTGGTGTTTTTTCCTGGAATGAATGCTTTGTCACTCGTCTGCTAGGTACTTTCAGAGAGAAGCTGTGACACCCTTCAAACCCCAGCCCATCAGACCTCGCCATCGTAATACTCTGTGACTGCATCAACCCAGCGCCACAGCCGCTTATCTGCCACAAACCGTGGGTTCATCTTGGCAGCAACTGCCACCTTACGAGCTAACGCGAGTCTCTTAGTGCCCACTGCGCCGAAGTACTCCTGCTCCCGCCGACGGATCTCGCTTTCATCCTCGTCGTCATCTGCTAGCTTGCCGGCCAGTATGAGCGCATCGTGTCTCGTTTCTCGTTCTTCCAATAGAGCTGGCAGACTATTGGTGTCGTCCCCGTCTTCTCCAGGAGTTCTAGGTTCCCCGTTAAGCGTGCAGAGTGCCTCCAGGTGGTTGTAGTCTTGTAATGCATCCAGATTCACCAAGCGCATGAACCGTGAGACCATCTGGCCGACCATCCAGAAGTTGGGCTCGATTACACACCCACCGATCTTCCTATTCTCAGTTTCGAAGCCGAAGCGGAAGGCACTTACCAGGGATAAATCCAACACCAAGTCCCTAGGATGTGGTAGGCCTGGCGTGGTGAGAAGTTGGGCCGGCGGGCCAGTAGAGGAAAATGCCCAGTCGATGACACACGTTATGTTCAGGTCATTGTCTACGAACAGATTCTGGACGCTGATGTCGTGGTGATGAAGGGGGAAGCCAGGAGCTGATTGACTGACAGGACGGACCATACAGGGGATGATAGAGTCCCGAAGGAGCTGGCTCGCGAGGCAATACTGTAATCGATTCATGCTAGACTCCACTATTCCCCCAAGGGCCGCGAAGTCATTCCAGCGATCAGTGGCGGCGTAGTACTTGGCGAAGTTGGGGTATTCTTGTGGGACGGGAATAGGCGCACGAAGGATATGGTGGTCCATTGGAAGCTGCTCGGCATGAAGATGAAGGGCTGCGGCGAGGGAGGAGTAATAGTCTACTTGCTGATGAAATGGACCGCGCGGGATATCCTCAATTGTTTCCCGGTCTTGCAGAACGTGCCCGGGAGAAAGACATTCGTCGACGTAATAACCTTTGTCGCCTTCGAAGAGCGACCCAATGGTCGGAAAGCGGAGACCGAATAACTGACGAGCGTAGCATCCAAGCTGGCGCATGATGGTCTTCTTCTCTTCGTTCGTCAAAACACGTGGAAGCGTCGCAGAACTGCTCTGTCCAGAAGGTTCATGGGTACGTGTTCGCCAGTCGTACTTCGCAAGGGGATGGCCGGGAGCCTTGCTCATTAGGATAAATGGGATGCCGATGTCATTTTCGTAGGTGAGGCTAACGACCGTTAGCTCAAGAGACTTACTGGCTTGGAGCATCAGGAAGATACCTGTGATAAAAAACTTCTGGTACAGGAATAAAAGTGTGCTCTCTGACGTATTTGAGGGTAGCAACCTCGCTAGCTAGGAGACGCCCGGTGAAGCCTTGGGCGGCGGCGTAGGATGAGCAGGGCGCCCGAAAAACCCATTCGAGGCCATCATCAAACTCAAGAAATATAGCCCAGTTTAAAGCTCCTGCTTTGGGGATTTGAGATTCGTTACAGGTACACGGTCGGCGTCGGAGCCGTTCCGCTAGCCTGAGGAGGTGCCAGAGGCTGAAGTCGGCGTGAAAGAAGATGTTCCCCTTTCGGCTCGTAGTAGGCATCTTGCCTCGCATGTCAGATCTATAAGAGAGATCTTGTCAGGTGTTGAGAGCTATTGAGCGATATGAAGAGTAGAAGGAAAGGGTTACGAGTTGCTACTTTCAGGTCTTTGTTTGGAGGAGATACATGGTAGGATGATGAGGATTGGGAGTGAGCTGGTGGTACGCCAAGACGTCTGCGGATATGACACCTTGGTTCTTAGTCAGAAACCCGAGCAGGCGATCATAGTGCCTTGCATGCGCCCTGATCCCCCTGGTATCGGCACCAAGTCCGCTTCATTAGCAGTGGCCAAAGGTCGGATGCCTACTAGTAGGGTGGGAATCATCAACCACTCCAAAACAGTCAGGCGCGCGTTGGCAATAACTCTTTGATTTCATTGTTATCTATTTCAAAGAGATCACAGCTCCCACTCTCATGATTGTTCATTCAGGTGCGCTAGTACCAAGACCAGAACGCTCAGTAGCTCAAAGAGTGTGGGCTTTTTTTTCCAGCGCAGCAGCCAGCAGAAACCACGATTTCGTCGCGCCAAGCTTTCATATGAGGCAATCCAAAGTCTCACGTTGCGCGCTGTTAATTTACTGAGCACACGCCAGGCACAGAGATGCAACGATCAGAGTAACACCTATGAGAGAAGATCGTAAGGGAGTTGAGGAGTCACATAAGACCTATCACTTCCTTCCCTCCTCGCACTATCACCTCTAAACTTGAAGTTATTATCGTCCACCACCGCCTTCATTCTCGCCTGCTCACATTCTATACGGTATATTGAGGTTCAAAGACAGTTGTTTTACCCTGTGCGCTATGCCTTGCCGACGTCCACCGCAGCCATCGACCCCGGAAAATCGGTCTCCTAATCCTGCTGGTGCACTCAAAAAGCGTACTATCTATCGCCGGATACAGTGTACTAATTTGAGGACCTTAAGTTACCTCGATCACCATTGCGTGGGCCTTAGGCTTATGAAGAATAAGCTAGCGATTCCTTATGGAGCAGGAGGACAGTCCATGAGAGTACTACAAGCACAACACTTCATTACGTACGTAAATCATTTAGCCCGAGATTTGCAACATTCTCACGCTTTCTAGGTACAGGACGACAATGGCGGTCAGATCTATAGAGTCTACGCTCAGGGTATCCGCAAGGGACCCGACTGAGTGGGCCAGTAATGAGGTGAAGCGTCTTCGCCATAGGCCGCAGATCACCTGCTAGCTATTGAGTTCTACTAGGTAGCACTGCGGAGCTACTAAGCAGGGGTCGGTTAGGGGGTTTATAGTTATAAGAACGTATATGTAAGGGGATCCTAGGAAGCTCATAAGCTATGAGGAGCTAGAATTTAGATGTATTCCAACCCTTCATCTATATTCTATTACCTGTAGACCTAGTAGGCTGCTTCTGTGTAGTCGAGCTTATTACACCAAGGGCAATGGTAGGTCATGAAATAAATCACAACATTTCGATATTCAACTGACTGCGGTTATGTTCGGGGAGTTTTCTCCGTTGCTTCTTTGAGTTTCAATTTTCGAGCTGAATATTCTCCTTCGACCTATAAAAAATCACAAATTCTTCATACAAGGAGGACTTTGATGGCAACCAAGATAGCCAAGACATTTATTCATCTGTTACCAACAACCTTACCCAGCCATATTCCAAGCACAATGGAGCTCTCTCTTGCCATCGCCTTCCTCTCCGTCGACGCTGTTGTGGCCGCCCCTGCTTTGGAAAAGCTTGAGACTGGCTCCGTCGAATTCTCTGCCGCAGGCAAATGTGGCGCCTCTTGCAACTGCAATTCTGTTAATAAAAGTTGCTACTGCATGCAATGTTCTTACAACCCTCACATGTGTAACATGGGTGGCCCCTTCAGAAAGTGCTAGCTGCGATGTAAGATAGCCTTCCGGTACGCCCTCAGAGCGACTGCTAATAGTTCCAGATTTTACATCTATATCTACACGATTCAAGCAACAGTTGGTGCTTGTTATTAGCTGGGAAGTTTTGTAGTTTGGAGGCAAATGCACATGTCAAGGAAACAATGAGACGAAAAAAGTCCCTCATCAGGTCGGATTTGGGATACTGGGCTAACGAGATAAATCTGATCAATTTCATTCACCGTTGCCCTAGATACCCATCAAAGAATGATATACTCCCAGACCGGTTCATCCCAACGAAATGTCAAAGATTTACTGAGTGGCCGCTTGCGACTTCGAGAAGAAATATATGCCCAAGGTGACACCATGGTGGCAGCTATTCTAAATCTGTTGAACCTCAACTCAATCAAAGGTTCGAAGCAAGTGGAAGCATCTTAACAGTTGATGAACTTGGTGTCTCGCCTTACTCTTTTATGTCTCGGTCCATATTTACTCGCCGCTGAAGAATTTGGCGCTCAAACAAGAAACAAGGTCTTAGTCTCTACGCCAGCACTTTCATCTTTCGTCTTTGACCCTTGTCCTGTTGCAAATTAACATCATGTCTCATCGATTAAGAGCAAAGGTCCAGTCAAGTTCTGGGCAAGGCACGTAGGCTGAGGATGCTGCGAGGGTAGTCTTTGTTCGGCAAACTGATATCTCCAAGCCTAGATGAATAACTACAAAACCGAAAACAACCAGATCACGTCGTGTCACTTACTCTTGCTTATTGCCAACCTCCATAGACACTTTCCACAGATATCTTTTATTCTACTTCAAAAATCGGGCTCATCAAAGCTTACCCAGAGAGACGTTGCTCGACGATCAGATCTTTTCTAGTATGCAAAATTCTCGAGGGTCGACTGGTACCACCGACGGGCCATACCGTCCTCAGAGGTATGGCCATGGTGAGCGCTTACCCTGTATTCGTCCATCACGGTTTCGGAATCTAGGTGCCTTCTCATCATCGCCATTTTCGGGCATCGTTTCCACATTCCAAAACAGATCAGATCAAGAAACAGGCTTGATCGCACCACAGCGGTCATTGCTGCTGGCTCGTGACAGCGCCGACGAAATAGGGTCTTCTTCAGACTCTGCCACTTCGACTACCTGCCCGACGGCCCTTCAGAGTAGTACGGATGGCATATTCGAACAATTTCAAAGCCCCAATTCCGTTTGTCACGCTACGCCACTGCCGCAGGCCAGGATCAACAGCACCGATGCCCTCCTCTCCGAATTTGAGTCTCACAGCGGCCATACGCCAGCCCGGAGACCCATGCAGCTGGGAGAGCTCCAACCACGGACTACGATATGCTTTCGTCCTAGCAACGCAATTGCTGGCCTCATCAACCCTCACCAAGACCCATGGGAGGTGGCCCGCCTCAAGGCCCAACACGGCATCTCGGTCAAATACCGTGGCGACCCAAGTCTTCCGGGCAATCACAGCGCCGCCATTCCCGACGCAGAAAACTGTTCCTTTTGGATCATCGACCTGCCTCCAGACGTGACACACAACCAGCTCCTCCGCTGCATCCGCAACACGGGCCGCGTGCACGCGTGCGTCATCAACCCCCCTGACCCGCGCAACCGACACTATACTGCAGCCGCCAAGATCGTCTTTTTCGACCTCTGGGCGGCTGAAAAATTCATGAGCGACACGTTCTTCTGGGGCTTCATTGTCGGTACCCATTGCGCCCGCGTCAAGCGAAATCGCATCAAGTCGGCGCCGCAGCCGCACGCTGGGGATCGGAGCCGTGTGCTCATCATTGAAGGGCATCCGAGTTTTGTAAATGCCCGTGAGCTAACACGATATTTCGACGCAAAGTTCCAGTATCAGGTTGACAGTGTCATTGATGTGTATCGCACTGAGGATGTTGGAATCGTTGAGTACAGATTTGGGAGTTATCGCTGTCAGGCGCAAACGGCACGCATGGCGATCGAGACGGAGCACATGGGCTCAGGCAGCAGTGGGCTTGTTTACGATGTTTTCTTTGGCCGTGACCCTTGCGATGTGAAGATTGGGAGCTTCTTGCGGTTTCCTGGGTTTTGATCAGACAAGAATACCTCGGCGAACTTTCGTGCTGGCAGCCTCTGCCTTGAATGACGATAGATCATGGCTGAGGAAACTAAATGATGATGAGGGGATTGCAGGATATTTGAGCACAGAACGATCCATTGCGCAACGGTATATTCCGCACGCAGCCAGCCACATGATGCTTTCTGCGTGAGAGACGAGTGAAGTTGTTGGAGTCTTGATGCCTTGCCTTCATCTCATCATGGCTGCTGCCAGCTGTCGTTGACCTTGGTTGAAGCTGGGACCAGCTGCCGGAATAGCACAGATTGATTGGCGGAATCGACCCCACTATTCTCGAACCAATTCGATGATGGAATGCGGTGGCAATTGAACCTCAAGAGCCCAACTTCGTACCTCGCGTCGTCTCGTCGTTTCGTCAACCCGCTTTGGCTGCCCTCTGATCCGACTTCAAGGCAGTCAATATGACGAAAGAGGCATCTAATGCATTCGCTCTTGTAGAGATGTTGGTTCCGGAACTCCCGGCCACAATCTCAGTACCGGCGACAGAAGAGAACGCCTCTCATCCTGGCCATTCAGCGGCGGAGCATGGGTCCACGGTACTCACAAATGGCGACTTATCGCAAGATCTGGAGGACCTGACACTCGACGGTGAGGGATCGGACTCTGCCCACGAGCTTCATATGGTCCCTGGTCCACCACCTCCCGTGACTAGCTCAGAACGAGTCGCCGCCGACGGCAACCTCACGATCCGGTCGAAACGGACTGAGAGACAGCGAAAGAGGCTTGAGAAAAAGGCCAGCAAACGCCCACCAAAAAGCATCGGCACTGGCCTCTTCCCGCTCCCGGACGAACTCCTCCTGAGCATCTTCGCAAACCTTCGGCCCAGCGATCTCCTTCGTCTACAGCAGACCTGCACATCCATGCGTGAATACCTGCGTACTTGGGAATCTGTCCTTGTCAAAGAAGTCATCGCCCGCCGATACGCTTGTCTTGAGCCATGTCTCAGGCTGCCAGCCCTGATGAAGGACATTGATCCTTCCATCCACCCAGCACTGCTTCACCCCGAACGTCAAGGCGGCATGGGCATCCACAAAAAGTTCCAGCACGTTCTGCCCGCCGACCCAACGTGCATCTGCACGTGTCTCACCTGCATCCTGCGCTGGAACTCTCTCTGTTTGGTGGTCGACTTTGCGCACTGGCAGCCGAACCTTGACTCGGGCACGCCCATCCCCATGATCCCCCGCGGCAAGTTCCCCGTCTGGAACGAGGATCTCGTCGCCGAGAACGCCAAAATCGTTCAGAGAGCCTTGATCTCACCTCTGTGGTACGCCCGTGTGCTGGAAGTACACCTCAACTCTACAACAAGATCTATCCGCCGCCATGCTGCCAACCAGGGCAACCGGCGGCGGCGGTTCAGAATGGCGAAGGAGGACGAAATGTCCGGCACGGACGAGTTCCTGCAGCGCAGCGGGCCGCCAACGATGGACTTTCCGTTCCATAGGGACAATTATTACATGCTCGAGTCCTACCTCCCGAACAGGGGATGGAGTTCCGACCTGGAAAGGTGGTTGTACATGCCAGACTGGCACGAGAGAGACTTGCACTGGGTGTCGGAGCGATGGGGAGAGACATCAAGCTCTGGTAAAAGCTCAAGCATGCAGCAAGCTACCGATCAAGGAGGCACTGGAACGGAAGCAACAGAGAATCAGTCTTGCAATAGTGCAACTATTCCAGCTCCCACACAACCCACTGAGAATACTGGGAATGCCCATCGACCTTTAGAGCTACCAAAATAGCCATAGGGGCGACTGTGGCCACTTTGACTCACCACCACCATTACACCTTACTGTGCTCGGCAGAGCCTTGTTGGTCCGCATCGGCAACGTGGCTTACCGCAGCGTTCTTTTCCATCAGATCCGAGGAGTTGACTGGCGCATCAACCCCATCGAAGACTATGGCCATCTGCTCGAGAGTGTATCCTCGCGTCTCAGGGTACCCGAAGAAGACGGTGATGATCATGAGCGATAGCACGACGATGAAGACAAAGTAGTACTTCCAGCCAATAGCATCCAGGGCGATCGCATTGACGAACGTGTTGAGGAAGATGGACGCCACAGTTGTGCACCAAGCCACGGTGAGGCCGCGCGAGCGCAGGCTGAACTGCCAAATCTCGCATGGATACGCCGTGAGGAAAGGGGTTCTAGAAGAATCACACAACGTCAGGTCATGTTCTATTTGCAAGAGGCTCCAGGCGATGACTTACAGGGCAATGTCGTAACCGGCGAAGAATAGGAACAGGAACGGAATGACAGCCATGCCGACGGATGAAGATGCGGAGCTCGCAAATGCACCGCTGAGGCCTGTCACGATGATGAAACTCGTCAGCATGGTGACCCCGGAGCTCATGAACAGGAAGCGGCGGCCCAGGCGATCAACGTTCATAGCGGCGGCGACAGCCCAGCCGAGATTCCAGACATTGAGACACGCCGAGATCAGGGTCTGCTCGGTGACCGTCTTAACGCCTACCGAGTCAAGCACAAGGGGCAGATAGTACGACACGACGCCATTGCCAGCCCACTGTGCGAAGAAACCCAGCGTAACGGAGATGAATAGGCGGTGCCTATTCCCGGGCGTCTTGACCATGTCCGCATACGATGCGCTGGAGGAAGCCTCCTTCTCGGCCGTAATGGTCGTTTCAATCTCGCTTAGTTGGTATACGACGAGCGGGTCGTCCCTGTTGCCACCAGCGTGGTGTTTTGCGAGCAGATCGGCCGCTTCATCGACACGTCCAACACTAATGAGCCAGCGAGGGCTCTCGGGCGACATCAGGAAGCCAGGTAGAGCGAGCAGAGGAATCAGGGCCTGCAGGAGAACAGGAATACGCCACGACCAATCGCTGGGGATGTTGCGGCAGGCAAAGGTGACCCAGCCGCAGATGGTGCCGCCGACATACCAACCGCACATGTACAAGGCATTGGCGATGGACCGCTGCTTGGGGTGAGCAATCTCGTTGACAAGCAGTGGTGACGAGTTGCCAAGCCAGCCCGAGGCGAGGCCGATGACGAGTCGCGAGAGGGTAAAGGTTTTCTCGTTCGGGGCTCCCGCCTGCAGACCAACTCCGATGATGAGGAAGAAGTAGCCAAAGTAGATGCCGAGTTTGCGACCCCAGCGGTTAGACACCCAAGCGGCCACAGGAAAGGCAACGCCGTTGCCGAGCCAGTAAATGGCAGTTATCCACCCCAAATATGTGCCGCGAGGGAAGTTCATGAAACTGTTCCAGGTATCAAGGGCCAGGATGCCGCTCATTACCGAGCCATCGTATCCGTTGGCAGAGGCTGTTCAGAAAGTGTCAGCTGAATTCATCAAGCCTAAGTGTTGGTGAGCAACAATGTCTTACAGAACATGACAAGGGAGATGATGTGCCAATTGAGCCTGATCAGATGCCTTTGTTTCCACCAAGGTTTGTCGTCCTTGGGCACATTTGCCAGTTCAACGGTATGGGCAGTCATAGTGACTGGGCAGAGGTTGAATAGCTTAATTATGAGTGGAAGTAGCCGAAGGTGAGAGGTAATTCTTGTCAAAAAGCGATGATGGTAGCAAGATGCATGTTCAGTTTCAGGGGGGATGGAGGGCGGATTTATGTAGATACTAATCCTTCGCCTTGCAATCCAAGCCCGGTGATGGTGTGCACAAGTTTCCTTGCGCTCAGGACTCTTTCAAGCCACGAAGCCTGCTCCACGATTTCGATATTCCCCCTTACCAAGAATGAGTCGTTCCCCATGGAGACGCATGTTGGGGCTGTCCGGGGGGCAAGGGGGTCCAGCCAGCCGGCGGTCTGGGGAGCGGGGCTTCCAGGGAGGTCAGGTTATCGAAGCGGAGAATCACCACATGGCAGGCAATGGCGGAGAGTATTCTTACGGACGAGGACCACTATAATGGGATTCCAACGGATCAATAATTTCGTTGTTCAAGGCGGAGCTGTCTGATGGATTAGACATTGCGGAGAAGTGACAGGCATCTCGTCAAGTCGTTATCAGAAATTCAGCGCAGAAATGCCGAGTCGGAGAATTGGGCAAGCAACTCGGTTGGCAAGTATTTGGCCCCTAACTCGAATTCTCCGCCCTCGACGCTCCACGCGCAATATCGCCGCCTTGACACGAAGATCAAACGTAAGCCATGGTGTTCTCCTACGATTATTCACCTCTAGTCTTCTTGCTGCAACATGACGTAAATGAGTTGATCGACTGGCAGGCGGCATATAAGTTCTCCTTCGGGACGACGCGCACGACCTCAAGTATGATCTGTCCAAGTTGCAGATGCTGGGTTTCTCTCCACTTACCAAACTTCTGTCTGCCCTGATTCCCAATGGCCCGCAGCATGGACGTTGAAAGACTGATTGAACAGCTCACTTTGGAGGAGAAAGTGCAGCTGACTGCTGGTAAATATGCCTGCAAAGTGTCGTACGGCCTGATGCCACGCAGCTCGCTAACTTCGGCATAACAGGCACGGGTTGGTGGCACACAACAGCGATCGATCGTCTCTCTATACCCTCGATACGTCTATCCGATGGTCCCAATGGCGTCCGTGGAACCCATTTCTTCGACAGCACCCCCTCGGCATGTCTGCCATGCGGTACTGCCCTGGGCGCAACTTTTGACACAGACCTGGCGGAGCGTGTAGGCCACCTGCTTGCTGAGGAGGCGCATGCCAAGGGAGCCCACGTTCTGCTTGGCCCGACAGTCAACATCCAACGAGGGCCCCTTGGTGGCAGAGGTTTCGAGTCTTTCTCCGAAGACCCCGTGCTTTCCGGCATCATAGCAGGGCACTACGTCCGCGGTGTCCAGGCCTCTGGCGTATCGGCGACGCTGAAGCACTTTGTTTGCAACGACATGGAAAGTGAAAGGATGGCAGTTGATGTCCAGGTGACAGAGCGGGCTTTACGCGAGGTATACCTCCTCCCATTCATGATCGCCATTGAAATGGCAAAGCCAAGAGCGATCATGACGGCATATAACAAGATCAACGGCAGCCACGCGCCCGAGAACCGCCGCCTGCTCCAAGATATCCTCCGCGATGAGTGGAAGTGGGATGGTCTCATCATGAGCGACTGGTACGGAACCTATAGCACATCCTCCGCAGTCACAACAGGGCAAGACCTCGAGATGCCGGGCCCGAGCCGCTGGCGTGAAGAGGCTCTCGTTCACGCTGTTACGGCAAACAAGGTTAAGCGTCGAGACCTCGATGAACGCGTACGAAATATTCTCAAGTTGATCAAACACGCTGTCGAAAACACCACCATTCCTACGAATGCCCCCGAAAGCGAGGCAAATACTCCCGAGCACGTGCAGCTGCTTCGCGAGGCGGCAGCAAAGTCCATCGTTTTGCTGAAGAACGAGAGGAACATCCTGCCCCTGAACCCATCAAAGCGCATTGCCGTGATTGGACCCAATGCCAACATCGCTACATATTGCGGTGGCGGCAGCGCATCACTTAGGGGATACCGCACCGTGACTCCACTCGAAGGGATTTGCAGTTTCGCATCGAACGTTGAGTTTTCTCAGGGTGTCTACGGCCACCAGTCTCTGCCACTTCTTGGGAAGAGGCTCCGAACAGTCGATGGTCAGCATACCGGCTTCACACTTCGCGTGTATAACGAGCCCAGACCGGACGGGGCGGAAGATAAACGTGCAATTCTGGAAGAACGACTTCTGGACGATTCCAACATGTGGTTTGTAGACTACGAGCATCCTGACCTCAACAAAGTCTGGTACGCCGAGACAGAAGGCATGTTGACTCCAGAGGTCTCTGGAGAGTGGGACTTTGGCCTCTCGGTTCACGGCACTGCACAACTCTTCATCGACGGCAAGCTCGTTGTCTCCAATGTGGAGAACCAGAAAGCCGGTGGAAGCTTTGCTGGCTGTGGCTCAGCTGAAGAGATTGGAAGCGCCAACCTCGAGGCCGGCCAGAGTTACAGGATTGTTGTGTGCTGGGGAAGCTCACTGACATCTGAGCGCAAGGTGTCGGGCGTGGTAGACTTTGGTCAGGGCGGCCTCCGTTTCAGTGGTTGTCCCCGACTCGACACGTCTGCAGCGCTCCAGAAAGCTGTTGACCTGGCTAGGTCCGTTGACCAGGTAGTCGTCTGTGCAGGGCTGAGTGGAGAATGGGAATGCGAGGGACAGGATCGTTCACACATGGCTCTGCCTCCAGGAACCGATGATCTAATCGCGGCAGTCGTCCAGGCGAATCCCAATACAGCAGTCATCATCCAGAGCGGCACGCCGGTTTCTATGCCCTGGATCGAGAGTGCTGGAGCTGTTATGCAGGCTTGGTTCGGAGGCAACGAGGGGGGCAACGGTATAGCCGATATTCTCTTTGGCGTTGTGAACCCGGTAAGTAACCCATCCGTGCGATCGGTTTCTCTGAAAATCACGATTAATGGCTGAGATTGTCCAAACAGGCTGGCAAGCTGCCTCTTACTGTGCCCCGACGACTAGCAGACAACCCCAGCGCCTTGAGCTTCCGGTCTGACAACGGCCGAGTTCTCTACAGCGAGGATGTATATGTTGGCTATCGATGGTACGACACTCTTGATATCGATCCTCTCTTTGCTTTCGGCCACGGGCTTTCTTACACGTCCTTCGCCCTCTCTAACCTTGCCATCTCCGAATCAAACGATGCATCGAAAGGCAGCGACGCCCCGAACCTCAAAATACGTGTGACTGTTCGAAACACTGGCTCAAGCTCTGGGTCTGAGGTTGTACAGATCTACGTGAGGCCATCCATGCCCACACCTCTGACGGGTACAGCTGGCGACACCGTGACGCGACCAACTAAGGAGCTTAAAGGGTTCGCCAAAGTCCAGGTCGAAGCTGGCGAAAGCGCCATTGCTGAGATAAGCCTCGACTTTTTGCGAGCCACGAGCTACTGGAGCGAGATGGACAACTGTTGGCGCAGTGACTCTGGGTCTTATGTGATACAGGCAGGGAACAGCAGTCGGGGCGTATTCCTAGAGCAGGTGGTTGTAGCCCAGAAGACGAGGAGGTGGACTGGTCTGTGTGGGTAGGGCCGGGCCGGCAGCTTCACGATGCCGCTTGAGGAGCTGGAGAATGTGAGAATAAGTTGAAGAAAATGAAACACAATTGGAGCGTTATGGAAGCGAGATTGATGCCAACGGCACAGAATATTACACACTAGCAGTCGGGATCCATTTCTCAAGGTAGAGGCAGCACAGATTTCCTGCCTTGATAGCAAGATGGACAACCTGTTCGTGTTCATGTGTCAAAGCGCATAGCAAGACAATCTCAGCCCTCGGCCGACCCGAATACGCGGGAGCTGTACTGGCATCAGCATCAGTAGAGAATACCCAGAACGCCCTACTGAATGACCAGAATAACAGATTCTAGACTCAATGTAACGAGCTAGTGTTGTGCTGTGCGCGCGTGATCCGTCATGACTCAGGAGCGGCGGTACTGGCTGGTTAGCTGATCTTTGAGACGTGATATTTCTCCGCCTTTTCCCTTGTCTTCTTCATGCTGCAAGGCGTATCCCCCCCCCGTTGTCTCCATCCTGCGCTACATACGCGATGAATTCCTCCGACACAGGAAACGCCGGAGCGTCGCCAGGTCGAAGTGTTGTTACAGCGGCCGCAGCGAGCAGGACTGCACAAATTGCCACACGTGCATGCGATGCTTGTCGCGCACGAAGAAAGCGATGCATTTTTGTGGATGAGTCCACTGTAGGGCAAGATTCTCCGCAAAGTAGCATTCAGACGCCCCAGTGTGCTGGGTGTATCAAGCTTGGCCTGCCTTGCAGCTTTGCCATCCCAACAAGAACTCGGGGACCCAAGAAGCGGCAAGTGAAGTCAATCAAGTGCTCGTCTCAGATGTGTTGCTAAACACCGGATCACACAGCCGACGAGTGTCGCCCGCCGCTCACAGTGACTCGCCGTCTGTCACGACGAGCACGAGACTGTTCGACGACGCGCCGCCCAGACAAGATGTCTTCACCACCTCGCCTTTGGTTGCACTTCGAAGCCCTCTGTCTGCACGCCGGAGCCCCTTGTCTGCGCATCGAAGCCCCTTGGCTCCAGAGGGAGCCTTCCACTACCCAACAGACGAGCTATGTCCTCGCCCACTCTTTCACACAATTATGAAAGACTACCTCCAGCGCATCTATCCTCTAGTTCCCGTCGTCCATCGCCCAACCTTCAAAGCCGAGCTAGCCTCTGATCGAGATGTTACCGACTCGGAGTTTCTTCGCCTCGTGTTGAGCATAACAGCACTCACAATTGGTCTGCTGCCGTCCAGGTTTGACCACTATCGAGCCATGGCCACAGAGCTCGTCGACCGCTTCCCAACACGCAGTGCCATGATTGACTACTGTGCACAGATGTGCCTGCGACTGCGCTCGGCTGGCCATTGGGATCATGTTACCCATCGTAAATGGGCCGTGTGCTACAGCTTGGCGATTGGTACCTTTCAGACAGGTCAGTCAAACCATAGTCGCATGCTCGAGGTGGAGGCGGCGCAATTCGCTCGTCTTCTGGGCATTCATCGGATCTCGGAGTACGAGGGCTTGAACCGCATTGAAACGCAGCTACGAAAGAAGGCTTTTTGGCTGCAATTTTACGGATACGCGTGAGTCCATCCACCCCGGTGTCAAGGCTTCGCAGCATCCGTGACTAACTTGCATGACACTCCAGGCATTCTCTAATACACGTTGGACGCCGTGAGCAGCTGACCTTTCTTGACCATTACACCCTGCGAGACGTGAATTTCGCAGCCTTGGTACCCCTCGACATTGAGGATGAGTTGATCACTGAGCAAACCGTCTTCGATCCTGTAACACTGGACCCGGCGTCTCCCATGACTGGCGACAGCCGGCCATACGACAGGACAGACCGTCCTTTTACGAGCATCAGCGCCTTTATTGCGGCCTCTCAGGTGTTCCTCACCGCCATGCAGGAAGCACTATTCCACGAAAGTTGTGACTGCAGCCCCAAGCGCGCACCCGAGGCTCGCCTTGGTCGATTGCAGACTTTGCTCGAGAAACTTGAGTATATGCTTGACGATCTACCTGCCGTAATGAGACAATGGGTTGTCGCCGAGGACGTCCATCAGACCCGTGATAAATTTGGCGAGAACGTGGACTCCCCCGAGGTTGCTCACGCCCAGCTAGAGATTACCCGCGCCAACCTGCACTTCACCCATCTTTGGCTGCAGAATTACCTTCTCGAGAAGATCGACTTGATACTTCAGCAGCAGGTATTAGACGCCGACGTAACATCAGATACAGCCTCCGCGTCTGCGGCCCTGCGTGCTAATTGGGCGTCGCGTGAGGACATCTGCCGTCAGATGCTACACTTACTGCACAGCATTCAGCAAGTACATATTGAGCCGAACGGACTATACTTGGTAAGACTAGCCGTGCGGCGTGCATCTTACGCTTCTTTCTTGCGTCAAGCCAATAACACTAACGATTGACTTTTCCTTTTCATAGGCGTATAAGGTCCGAGATGTGGCAGTGGCGCTCCTCAACTGCCCCTTTGAAGCCCACGAAGGACCCTCCCGCCGGGCTGCTGAGTACATGCGAGACTTCACAAGCATGTTATCTCGCCTCGACCGCAGTGAGATCATGAACACTGCAAGTCTAAAGAGCTGGGTTGACAAAGATCGCGACTCAGCTCGGTAGCATTGATAATGATATTTGGATTCTTCGCCAAGGCGGTGTTGACTTTGGTGCCGCAATATTGACATCTACCGACGTTGACGGTGTTGTGCAAAGATGCTATGTTGTGTGACCTGCAAACAGAGCGGACTTGGCGGAACCGCGCCGCACAGCTGAACTACCTGAAACGACAGTCCGTGACTCCATGAGTACTGAGGTTTAGGCAATTAACGGCTATTTCGTTTCAGGAAACTTTTTTCGAGCGAGACCGCCAAGCTCATTCCACAGCTGCAAGGCCAACTTTTCTGGGCATGATATATAGGATCCCTTCAGCTGTTGCTGCTTGTGAAGCTTTGGGACGAAATGCGCCGAGAAATCACAGATTAGCCTGTCGATTTCCTGAAGAGCGATGTTGCCACTTTTTGGACAGAATCGCAACACTTTCGGCGCATCTGAAAAAGATTAGCCTATTGTGATGCCTTGACACGTCAAGTGTTCTCGTCGGCTAATTGCTGAAGGTCCACATACAGCCCCTCAGCGAAGGCCTCACCTTTCCTGGGACCAGTGTTAGCCTATGCGGCTTGAAGACACCTTGGAAACTCTTCCAAGGCAGGATTGTATCTCCATGTGCATGACTTGTGGCTAGGAAATTAGAAACATAAATAGGAGACCTCGACCGCTCGTTGTCCTGCTCGATCGTCAACTCAGACTCAGACACAACTGCATCACCATCAGACACCTCACCTGTTATCGTCAACTGCGTTATCCAAGCTCAACAAGATGAAGTTCAGCATCGCCGCCATTCTCCTCGTTACTGGCCTAGCTGCGGCCGCGCCTGCCGTTCAGGCGGAGACCCGCGGAGAAGGTCTTGAGAAGAGAGGCTGTGGAGCCGGTTACCTGTGCTACAGCGGCTATTGCCATTATAACTCGTGCAGCCCAGGCATAGCCGGATGCACCCTTATCCGCACCAACACTAGGTGCTAGGTATGGGTTATCAATCAGAATACTGCAAGCGAGGCTCTAGAACTGACCTGGAATCAGAAATTCGCGTCCAGCTGACTGGTCCGGCAGGCTTGTCTAGGATGTTGGAATTTTGCAACGGCAAAAAGGAGATTCTAGACTGACTGTTTGAGACTCAATATCAGCCCATTCTATGCCCATCATTGCAGAAATGCCCTCTTCACTTATTGTTCCGATCAGACTCATTGTTCACCGAGATGCTCAAATCTTGCTTGCCTTAGTTGTGTAACATGCTCGGTTTTGTGATGCAGAAAAGTGCCATGGAATTTATACATGACTCGTAACTAAGATTTTGATACTCGAAAGAATGCAACCTTTCTTGAACAATAGAGAGAAACGCAGTGGTCCTGAAGCCGTTGTGGTACAGCCTAGCAAGGCTACTCTTCGAGTTTTTCTGACCCGAAATCCACCTTTCCCATCCCGAGCGCGACATAACGATCAACGAGCATAGCCTCCTGGCGGTCCCTGATCTCCCGCAATGCAGGCTCAGCCGACAACCAGCCCACGACCAGCATGCTCTTGAGCAGCCACGACGACGTGAACCTTTCCGCAGTGAACCATCCGACATCATGGGCATGAAGCTGCGCAACCCAAGGGAAGTTGGAGGTAATGTGTAGTCGTAGCAGGGCCGGGTGCTTCCTCAGCTGCACCAGTGCCTCGAGAAGCGAGACGTGATACCATCTGAAGCTGCCGATGGCGAACCCCATACTGGATCCGACCATGAAGGGTATGGCGGCTGTGCCCCAGATGACGCTGCCTGCCATCGCACTAGCCACCCCGATAACTGCAGCAGTTGATGTGCCCGATATCATGCTGCGCATCATGCTGGAGTACTGTGTGAGCGGATCATCTCTGAGTGAAAACAACATAGGTACTGATCTGCCACGTACAATAAACCAGGACCACTGGTCGCCTATGGTTAGCGTATGCCATGCTGCGCTTGGTCGACTGAACTGACCTGACTGTGCCCCAGCCACCAAGGACCTTCAGCAATGAGAAACGAGGCTCAAAATCAGCCATTAGAGCTATCGATGTACTTTGACAATTGATGACTGAAGCATAGGCTGCTTGCGACGTTGATGACCAGGGATGTAGCGATAATATGTAGTTCCATGGTCCACAGCTATGATCTGTATTTGGTCCGTGCTTTCAGACAAGACATTCCTCACATCTGGGAGCTGCCAATTCACTTGAAGCTCAAGGCCAGCAGGAAAGCCTGCACAATCGGCGAGCCGTCAACAATCGGAGGGGGAGGGTGCGACTCCATGGTATGACTGTCCAAGATGGTCCCTCATGAAGCCTCGTTCTACAAGTTTATTGTGCCGCATTGAGTACACGTGTGTCAAGAACCAGAGCGACGCGTTCACCTATCTACCTCGCACCTGAGAAGGAGCGAGTCTTGCATCGAACCATGACATTTGATGGAGGACATGACGGCATTCCCATGCATCTGATCAGAGGGCCAAGTTTAGACATTTGATACAGACTGGGTCGAGAGCCCTGACCGGCTTCGATTACTTGTCTTGAGACGCAGGCCAACATCTCCATTGCGGAAACAGCATCACTTCTCCCACCCTCCCAATGCAGCCCAGCATCTTCATCATGCCCGCAATCAAGGGGTGTTGAAGAAGGACAACGCCCCAACAACAGCGCCAGCCAGAGGCAGCAAGCTCCTCCCAAGATTAAGCGCCTTCCAGGTCCCAATCAGCTCAACGATCCTCTCCGTCGCCTGCTGCGGGCTCGGATCCCCAGCAGCAAGGAGGAGCTCCCGGTTTGTCTCGCTCATGAGGGCAACGGTAAAAGGGACGATCGACACGGTGAGCGCCGCGGCGGCGACGAAGCCGAGAAAGGCATTCCCCTTGCCGCCGCCGCCGCTGCTGGTGGTGCGCCGCCGGCCCTCGAAGGCGGCGTACAGGTACACGGCCGCCGTGGTGGCGGCAAACTTGGGCATGGCAGCAAGGCCGTGCTCATACAAGCCTCGCCAGACGCCAGCCGAGAGGTGGTGCGGGAAGTCGAGGGCTGCTGGGCAGCCGATGATGGAGAGGCCGGCGATGGCGCCTGGACGGTGTGTCAGCGGGAGGGACCGTCTTCTCTCGGACGGAAGTGCGGAGATGGAGCAACGACAACGTACCGGAGGTCCAAGCTGCGCCGATGACGCCGGTAGCGACCGCTGTCAGATAGGGTACGGACCGCGACATGGTGTGTGATCAGGTTCAAAGCTCGGGGCTGGGGTCAACGGTGATGAACTGGTTTCTTGGGGGTGAAGGGTTGACCGGCCGGAGAACTGCGAGGGAGGAGTAGCTCGGTTAGTAGCTAAGACCCGAGCTTTAAGCTGTCAATGCTTGGTGTCTTAGTACATGCGAAGATGGCATGGTGGACTTGCACGACATCATCTTCTACTAGACAAAGTCAAACGCTGCTTCAGGTTAGATCGGGGTCTAAGCCGAACCAAAGCCATATCTTGCCCAGAATATGGGTAGCTGGCAGTTTTTTCGTGTTCATCTTTCGCCATGACATGGTGTTTGACAGGAGAATGGGTATTAGTTGGTCTCGTAATGATGAGACAAATTCTCAATACAGCAAGGACATTATCGTCAGGCATGTGAGCCCAAGCCGACAAGCCACATGGCTGGTATTTGTTACGTGCCATCTCAATCGTCACAAGCATCGTGGCACACAATTCAGTGTTTTACAGTTTTTGCATTCCCTTCGCCGACTTTTCCTACAAACACATCGCCTTATCTCGCAATGCGCGCGGCAATCACTGGCCGAAATCAACAAGGCCATGAGAAGAAGGACTTTTGTTTTTCAACCCTCCCTTCCATCACGAAGGGCCCTGCACAGTCCATCCCCAGCATACGTACCCCTTTCTCGGAACAGGGGCGACGTGGTGGTATATGCTAACCAAGAACACATGGTGAAAAAAAAAAAGAATGAGTAGACGCCGGTGAGAAGCCCAAAATAAGTGCCGAAGACGGAAAAGATCCAACATGACATATTTAGCCGTGTCTGCCGCCAGTCCTCTCGCGCATCATCTTGCGCCTCTGCACGTCCCTCTCACTGTCCCAGGTCAGGAACTCGTGCAGGCCAGAGCCGCTAGGCACCATTGGCAGAACGGGCACCTTGCGGTCCGTGACAACCTCGAGGAGAGCGGGTCCGTCGCTCTCGATGAGCCAGCGCAGGGCCTCCTGGATCTCCTCCGGCTTCTCCAGGCGGCGGCTCTGAACTCCCATGGCGTCGGAAAGCTTCTGGAAGTCGGGGTTGACCGAGTGGGTGTGGGCGTAACGGTCCTCATAGAAGAGGTTCTGCCATTGCGTGACCATGCCCTGCTCCTCGTTGTTCAGAACGATGACCTTGACGCCAATGTTGAACTGCGCAGCGGTGGACAGCTCGGTCAGGGTCATGTTGAAGGAGGCATCACCATCAATGTCGATGACGAGGGCGTCAGGCTGGGCGACCTTGGCGCCAATAGCGGCCGGCAGGCCGAAGCCCATGGTGCCGAGACCACCAGAAGTGATCATGGAACGGGGGTGGCGCCAGCGGAAGTGCTGAGCGGTCCACATCTGGTGCTGACCGACACCGGTGGTGATGTAGGTGTTGTCTTTGCGATCAGCCGTCATCTTGCTGAGCTCCTCGATCAGGGTCTGGGGCTTGATGAGACCACCACGCTCGGTGCGCTCGTAGTCGGACAGGGGCCAGCGCTTCTTCCAGCCGTTGATCTTGTCGAACCAAGCACTACGGTCGGCCATGGAGCGAATCTCAACGTGAGGCAGCATCATGGAGACGTTGGTGGCGACATCACCCTCGACAGCCTCAACGGCTTGAACGACCTTGTTGATGTTCTTGGGCATGATCTCAAAGTGAACAATACCACCACGGCCCTCGGCAGCGGCAGCCTTGGCGCCAGGGGCGAACTTGCCGACGTTCAGGGTGACGCGATCGTCGAAACGGGCGCCAAGGGCGATGATCAGGTCGGCCTCCTGCATGGCCATGTTGGCATAGGCGGTACCGTGCATACCAAGCATGTGCAGCGACTTCTCGTCCAGCTCGTCGAAGCCACCCAGACCGTGCAGGGTCGTGGTGACAGGGATGGAAGCCTTGTCAGCGAGCTCCTTGAGGATTTCGGGGCCGTTCTCGGACAGAATGACACCCTGGCCAGCGTAGATGATGGGCTTCTTCGCAATGTTGATGAGGTCGGCGACGCGCTTCACCGAGGCGGTGAGCTGCTTCCTGCTCAGGCTCATGGCAGCTCTCGTCGCAGCGCTGGGCAGCGAGGGAATGGCGGACTCGGTAGGAATGGCTCTCCTCAGGATACCAGCGGTAACATCCTTCGGGAGATCGACGAGAACAGGGCCGGGACGGCCGCTGGTCGCGATCTCGAAAGCCTCATTGATACGGCGGGGCAGCTCGGCAACGCTCTTGACCATGACGTTCCACTTGGTGCAAGAGCGGGAGATGCCGACAACGTCGGCCTCCTGGAAAGCATCGCTGCCAATCGAGGTGGTCACGACCTGGCCGCAGAAGACGACCATGGGCGTGCCGTCGGAGAGAGCATCCTGGAGGGGCGTGATCACGTTGGTCGCGCCGGGACCGGAGGTGACGAGGACGACACCGGGCTTGCCAGAGGCGCGGGCATAGCCCTCAGCCATGTGGCCGGCGCCCTGCTCGTGCTTGGGCAGGATGAAGTCGAAGTGTGGGGAGTTGTAGATGGCGTCAAAAACGGGCAGAATAGCACCGCCGGGGTAGCCAACTGGATGACTGGGTTAGCCGAATTGCCACCGGTACTAGGTGCGTAATATTGTACTCACAGACGTGCTTGACGTTGTGCCTCAGCATCATCTCGTGGAAGATCTCGCCACCCGTCTTGCCAATGAATCTAGGAACATGTGAGCAAGCCGTCGTCGGAGAGGTGTGTGCGGACGGCTACATACGACTCGTCCATCTCAGGCGCCTTAGGGTCGACAAGAGGCTGGCTATGCTCGTCCGCTTGCTTGAAGCCAGAGGCGGGAGGGGGGCGGACATCTCCTCTGCAGTAAGATCGTTGTCAGTTGGGGAACATGTTCGTGAGTCACCAAGAGAAGGTGACGGCAGTCGGGAGGACATACGGTGCCGGGTTGGTGGCGGAGGTGGCTTGATTCCTCACGCCGGAGGGAGTCTTCTTGATGGCCTGGACGGCAGAGACGGCGGGAGAGGTGGTGAGGGTGCGAATGGAGGAGGGCCTGTTCGCGACGGCGCGGAGGGCACGGCTGGCCTGGCGACTTCGGTGCATCATGATGGGCGGTCGGTCGAGGTGATCGGTGGCGGAGGAGGAGGGAGAGGATGTGGTCGGACGAGGGAGGAAGTTCAAGGTAGGGGAAAAGAATTTTGTGCTCGGTAACAACAACAAGAGGCTCCGCGAAGTGTCCAGGAACGCGTGCCGGCAGTATTGAACCTTTGACACGACCAAAGTCGAATGTCAATTGGGAGAGCGAGCGGTCGGAGGTTGTGAGGATGGAGAGGGTGGAAAGGTGCTCCGGGGCTGGAGGCGAAAGTAAGATCACAAGTTTGGTCCTGCCCGGCCCTGACTGAGCCTACACCAGCGCTGGGGCAGGAGCAACCGACCGAGGGATCGGAGGTGGAAAAATATCAGTTGGCGTGCAGCCATGAGTCAACTGGCTGGAATGCGCCCGAGTGTGGGGTTTGGGCGCCTCTCGCGTGGCGATATCGGCCTATGGCGCTGCAACCGATTCGATTCCACCCTGTTGATTGGCCGGAATGCCCGTCAATTTATGGGGAGCTCCAATCATACCGACTGTTCTGGCCGCCGGTGGACGGTCGCAGCAGGCGGCTTCTCCCTTTACACTTTCCCAGGTTCCCCTCCTTGCCAACGTTTACGGTTGTGTAGCTCCGAATGAGAGTCTGGGGTAATTAATTCCCTTTTGACTCAGAACTGTTGACGATGGCCCAAGCCGTTTTCGAGACGACAGTATGCCAATGGGCAGAGATGAGCCTGCTCCTGGATGAGAATAATTCAGATGGATCCGTAAGTGCCCTCGTGTGACATCATTGTGCTTTACACGTTAGGAATCTGTGGTGCCACCCACCCAAGATAGGTAGGTAGTAGCCTTCTGAGAGAGGTCAGTGTTACTATACCGAGCTTGGGTGAGAAAACGGACCTGTTCATATGCAGGCCCGTGCCCATCACTCAAGGACCAAGAGCCACAGACATATGGGACACAACCCACGAGAGATCGCTCGCCAAAGTTCACCACAAATTCTAGTCGATGAATGGATAGCATTCACTTGCTCCAACCTAAAGATCACCAGCAATCCCCTTCATCACAGCGGCCGCCCTCTTCGCGATGCCTGCATCAACGCCCTCGCCGCCCTCCGCTCTCGCGTCAAAGCCCTTCACCCAGAAGGCCCACCTCTCCTTTCCATAACCACCCTCGCCTCCCAACTTTTCGCCCGCTCGCAGGCTCCTTGCGTCGGGCCCTGACAGCACCGGTCCATCCGTGACGAGCTGCCACACCCTTGACCCGGCATGCATGATCCACAGACCCGCCGCCGCCGAGAGGTACGCTGCCTCCTTCACATCCTCGACGTCCTCCTCGAACGCTGCGCGAAGCTGCCACAGTGCAAAGTCGTCACCGTGGATGAGGCCGCGACTCCAGAGCAGCGCCGTGAACGCCTGGATGCTCAGGTAGCCAGCGAGCTGGGCATCGGTGGGCGGACGGTTGGGCTCAAACGGGGCTGTCCCTGTTAGCTACGAAGACGAAAGCACAGGAGCTCAAGGATACGTACGGCCAAAGACGTCGCGCAGGTTCCATCCAAAGGTGTGCAAGCGGCGAGAGGTTTCAAATCCATTCTGCTCCCTCAGGTCAGCAACGGCCTAGGCAGGTAAGGCGTGTGGGTTCAACGTACTGTTGTCTCGGTAAAGACGGTCTTTGGGGAGAGCGAGAGCGCCTCGACTGTGCGTACGAGCCTGACCAGCGCTGGGTGATTGTGCGGGATTTGCTTGGCGACATCAATGACCATGTTGTACAGCGTATAGTGCGCATCAGTGCCATCAGATCCTGGAGGTCCTGGCAGGGTAGCGGCCAGGTCCTTTGCCGTCGTCTCCGCCGTCACTGAGCTGTCCGAACTAGCATTGAGAAGAGTCTTGACTGTCTCAAAGGCAGCAGCATCATCGTAAGATACATCTTCTGGTTTGTAAGTGAGGTTGAGTGCTTCTGCCATGATGGCGATACTTCTTGGCGGACGCGGGGTAGACTGTCGCTTGGGTTGTGGGGTGGTGTTGTAAAAAGGAGCAGAGCGCTTGGCGATCGATATGGTGTGAGTCCCTGAACGAAGCAAGGTCCTGGATATATCTGTCCTTATAGAAGTCCGGGAGATAAGGCTAGACATGGCCGTTGACATGTGGAAGATCGGCCAGGCACCCTCGATCCAGGGTTGCCCCTCAACTACCGACGTCACAGACGGCGGGGTGCTACAGTGTCGCAAAAGTGGGGGTGTTCCCTTTTTCCAGGCCTCCGACCGTGTGGCGGTGGCCCCCGTGGGCCAGCCCCTGGCTTCGGTTCGTCCCACCTTCCAGCTTTCGGCGAACTCCTGCAGCATCATCCTGCGATCAATTATGCCGCGAAGCTTCGACGTAAGCAGGGGGCTTGCTATATACGATCTGGCTTGTCGATCAGTGCTGGTTTTGCGTGGGTGTGGCATTTCAGGTCGCAAACATGTTCATGTCGGAGGAGCCTCATCACCGTCTTCCATGGCGAACTCTCGAGGCGGTTGCAGTGATGCGTACGACCTGGAGTTGGTGATTTAATGAACTCCCGCCGTGTATCAGAGAACAAAGACCTCTGCCTCCAAAATGCAGCAGGAGATAAGTCTGCAAGGAACAAGAATCACAGGACGATCGCAATGCGTGCACTAAATGCTCCTTTCGACCCGGCAACAATGGCGGGTGGTGACACAATCATCTCTCCGCCCGTTGCGTAGAGAATCATTGGGTACGTGTTTCCTACCTCGGGGTGCAAGTAGGCATTCATTGCGACAATAGCGAACAGTTCCGCAAGGCAGCTTTCAACAGGCCGTTGCCTTGTGAATGGAACACAGTCAAGGCAATTCAGCTGCCAATCTCCTTCCACTTCTCCAACCCCCCTCCGAGGAGGATTCAAGATCAGGACCTTTGACCAGGTATCGCATGCTGAACAAATTTGTCACCTTGAGCACACTGTCTTACGCAAACACGGCGTGCCAACATCATGACTAAAGCCCCCGAGGAGACAAGCGTCATGGATCTAGACGAGGTTGAGACCAGCAACCCCGACTGGAAGTTGCAACTTGACATTGCCCACTTCGAGCTCCTTGTTCCTGACGATACCCGCTATGGTGTCAAGCCTGGAAGATCCTTGGAAGACAAGCAAGCCGACAGAGTGGAAGGCAAGATCCTTTCGGAGCGCAAAAGAATCGAGAGTCAACTAGGTCCACGCACCCAAGCAGAGCAGCGCATTATCGACACGGCGGAACTCATCATCATTCGTCGACAAGACATTCACCTTGCCCAGCGCCGGGAGCGACGTCTCGAGAACCCCTCCAAGTACTATGTCCTGAGCGAGTATCCCGACAACAACCCTCTGAAGCGCCCTGTCTGGCGAGGCCTCTATGATACGAAACTGAGGCCCGTCAAATATTACATGGGCCACAAGCCAGGCGACTTCATATTTCGATATTACCATTTACCCTGCCTGCCGCTCCGTGACCCACGGAGATGGGTCTATGAAGGTCAGGTACCGCACATGCTGTATGAGTACAAGGCCAGAATGGTTCAGAAAATACTCCCGGATATCCTCGAGGCGCTGCTCAGTGCCATGAGCTTTGAAGAGAACGAACGGGGTACAGATCCTCCGGGTTTGGTCCAGAAACTTCAGCGGCGCGGGCGCCTTGCACTTACCAAGCCAAAGATTCAATGGCGCATCTTCGAGGCATGGAAAGAAAAGGTGATCAAGGGACGACAACTGGAGAGATACTTAGAGGTCCTACGAGACTCGCACCTCGTGCAGGAGATGGCCTGGCTGTACAAGCGGGTCGATGCGACGATGCCACCAGACTCTTTCCTGGTCATGACTCTAATCATACCGAACCTCGAGACAGTTGATGTACTTGCCGCTAAGCATGATCAAGCTCTCGAAGCCAGAGCACGGCACCTGCTCTTCGAGGAAGGCGAGGGATGGCGGGTCGTAGATCCAGCAGAAGAATCCCGCAGATCCTGTGCCAAAATTATGAAGCACACGCCATATGACTGGGAGAAGAATGACGAGGCAGATGAATGCAATAAGGAACTGGAGCCTGATTGCAGCCGCGTGCTCGTGTACACGTTATTCTGCGAGGATGAGCACCCATGTGGAGTGGATGCGGCGGCGGTCGCTGCATCTTCAGGGGTCTACCATCCCCTGGAGGATCCCGGCTTCGGGTGGACGGAGAAACCTTTACGCGGCAACGGCGCGACTGGACCCACAGTCGTCCCCTGCAGTCGCCATTTTTTACGACAACCTCGACATCCGACGCCTATCCGACTCGCGAGGTGCGCCATCCACGAGCACCACAACCAGCTACGGCTCCAATACGGCCCCGACCACGGCTATTACCCCGACGAAAGATTCATCGACAAGACATCGGTACCAGACCGCGTCGACATTTCGGAACTCGCCGTGCAGCTCACCCTCAGCGCTGCCGCACGCATCGAGGACGAAGCCACAGTCGGCCGCGACGACCTTTCCAGCAGCAACTCATCCGACGACACCAATTCCCTCCACGGGAACTAGGGCGTCTTGACTCGACGTTTCTCCTTCTGCTTCGAATCCAAAAAGCCGTCCAGTCGTCCAACAAGCACACAAAAATGGCCCTCCTCCCATTCACCCTAACCGGCCTCCTCGCCCGCCCCTTTCTCCCCAAGGCCACAACAACCACGCTCCCGATCCTCCGCACCTTCACAACGACGCCCGCCCCGCAAGCAGCCAAGGGCAAAAAGTCCAAGGTGACCCCGGGCTCCGAGTACCGCGCCCGCGTGGCCAAGCTCCGCGGCAACCTACACGGCAACGCGCCGCCACCCCTGCGCATGGCCCGCAACCGTCACCTGCGCCACTGGACCATCCATCGCGCCTGGAAGCTGCACCAGCGCGAGCTCCGTGAGGCCCGCGAGCGCGAGCTCATGCGCCAGCACCAGGGCATCAGCAACGCGTGCGAGGAGCTGCGTGTCACCGAGGGCCCCGGTCTCAATGCCGAGGGCTACCTGTACCGTGTTGCGCTCGAGAAGAAGGGCCTGTACGGCCTCGACGCCGTGCCGATCGAGTACGCGAGGCTTCAGACGGAGACGCCGGCTAGGGTCGCTTGGGATCACGACTGGAAGAGGTAGAGGATGGATTTGCAGAGAACAAGAGAGGGGGCGAGATAGACTCTCTTGCTTGACTGAGGGGCGAAAAGGGGGCCATGCGTCTTTTCTGGCTTCACGTCGGCGCCAGCGAGGGTTTCCTTTGATTTCGTATCATACTGTATCACCACTGTTGCATAGAGTTCAAGGAGGGTAGGCAGGCACCAATAAGTCCAATGCCGATATGAGTTCATTATTATGAATAAGCCGCGTCCGCCGTGGTGTAGTGAGTGATGCTTCGCGACACACATGGCACTAGATACCAAAAAATAAGATAAAGAACGAGGCGCCTGGAATAAGCCTACAGCTTGAGCGCTCGAGCCGGCTGAACGGGATCATTGTTCCCCGTCTACCAAGCCTCGTCAGGGCTCAGTCCTGGGCGCCCTGCAGACCAGAGGCTGATTCGAGATTCTTGATGGTGTGCGGTGCCTGCCGATGCTATTCCATTGACGCTTATTATACACACTGAGGCAGAGGAGATGCTGCGCTGCTTTAGGGGTCTCTGTGGACCCTCGAACGAAAAGAGAGATGCTGCCGTGATGCGATGCGATCGGCAATATCGCTTGCAAGTTGCGTGGCTGCTGAACAACGAGTGTGGATAAGCAGCTCGAAATTTTCCCTTCGCCGTGTTTTTGAATATGTGTGCTTCCGAGTAGCACGTCTGGAAGTCAGCCGCGCGGCGTGCAGGTGACGAGCCGCTCCCGGAGGGCGTCAGGCCTGCCGTCACCCGTTTCAGGGTTCCTCCTCCCCGCCTAAACCGCTCATGAACCTCCTCCATTGATTATGTTCGACGTGAACGCACGCTCAGAGGATAACGCAGCACCCTCCTCCCTCACCCTTCTCGAATGTCAGCAGTGCCGCACGTGTGGCAGCCTCGAACACATCGTCGACGCCCTCGCCGCTGAGACTGGAGCACTCGAGGTACTTCCGAGCGCCGACTTCACGGGCGACGGAGTCGCCCTGCGCAGTGGTGACGAAGGGCAGAGACTTCTTGCGCATCTCCTCGATCGCCACGGGGTCTTCGCGAAGATCCTTCTTAAGACCGACAAGCATGATCGGGACGTCGGGGCAGAGACGGCTAGCTTCTTCTATCCACTAAGCGGTTTGTCAGCAAACTTCACCTGCAACATGTGCCAAGCGAGCCTTACCTTGTGCTTGACGTTGTCGAGAGAGTCGGGAGTGTCAACGGAGAAAGCGATAAGGATAACATGCGCTTTGGAGTAGGCAAGAGGTCTTAGTCGCTCATAGTCCTCCTGGCCAGCGGTATCCCATAACGCGAGTTGGACAGATTTGCCATCGACACGGCAATCTGTGACATAGTTTTCGAAGACGGTGGGGATCTAGCAAGAGGGTTAGGTCAATGGAGTCTTGAGCACACAGCAATTGGAGGACCGACATAATGCTGTGACCGTTGGTTAGCAAGAGATCTTCATTCTATCTCGGGAAAGACTGGACGCAACATACTGTGGGAAAGTATCCAAGCGTGAACACGCTGAGCAGACTGGTCTTGCCGCACGCTCCGTCACCAATGATGACGAGTTTCCTGTCCAGGGGCCATGTCAGCGTTGTGTTGTGGATCAGACAGCAGCAGAAGGTTGCAGTGGGTGGATGCAGAATGTAGAGCGCAGGGAAGACGATCAAATTGGCATCAGCAGACCGAGGCGTGCATCAAGGGGTTGTCCGCCAAGAGGCTGGCGGAGATGGATCATCATCGTACCTTCGAATAACGTTTTGAGGATTTGAAGCAGCCATAGCGGATGGGGGTGAGGATCGTCGGACGAAAAGGGGGAAGGGAAGGCTCCCGTTTCAATTGAGCAAGCAATCGTCGAGTCGAATAGCTGCTTCACAGTGTTGCCGGAGGTACTGGTCGGCCGCAGTTGTCGAAAGAAGGCTGTCGAGATAGAAGTTGGAGAGAAGAGGAAGTCCGGGTTCGAACAATTGGAATCCCCCAAGTTGAACAGCAGCAAGCCACAGTCGGAGCCACAAGCCAAGCGCGTCGGTGCCGGCTGGTCGGTCGGTCGGTCGGTCGGTTTCTGGGGGACGGACCTTTTGGATGGTTCAGGTCAGGTCGTTCGGGTCGTGGGTCGATCCTATTTTGTCTTGGAGGGCCACAGCCGGGAATGTTGTCCTGGGGGGTCGGCAGGTCGGAGGGGGGGATGTCTGAGGGCTTTTGGGGGGAGGGGTCGAGGGCTGGCGAGTTCGTGGTTGCAGAGGGCGGTGTTCGTGATCCGTAGGGAGATTGGTTGGGAGAAGGAAAGGATCCTAGGTGGGAAGGGGAAGAAGGAAAAATAATGAGGGAAGCAGCAGCGACGATCAGCCTGAGGCGCGGCGCTTGTGTCGGTGCTTGTTACTTGGTGCTTGTTGCTTTGGTGCTTGGGCTTGGGCTGCTGGGGCTGGCGTTGGTGCTTGCTTGCTGGGGGAGGGATTGGGGTGGGAGGAGAATGGGGTACGCAGGCTGGCAAGGCGAACGGGAGTGCATCATCATGGGGAGAGAATACGAGCTGAAGAATTTCACTTGACTGTCCTGCAAGTCTGTTGCTCGTCTCGTCCTGTCCAGCTTGGGCCATCGGCATCGGGGTTAGGTCCGGCGATCTCGAAGATCAATTCATGCACAGTAACTGTACAGACATGCTCGAGGAGCTCGTCTGTCTGTTCCCATCAAGTGAAGTGAATACAACTAAACAACCTCTGATGCCATGGCAGGAGTTGCGGGACTCGGTTGATGGGAGGCCTATAGGACAAGACTGCGCCTCCGTCCAGCGGAGTTGTTGTGCTTGTGATGGCCCATTCAGCGATGGACACCAACCCAGCTAATGATAATCAGGGCGGGAGCTGCGCCAACGAACCCTTCCGCTCCCCCTCCCTTGACCCTGGTCGGATGGGCTGCGCCAGCTCCATGTTTCCCATTAGTTAGCTTGCTTGCCTACCTAGTTCTGGTAAGGGTAAGGTAGTTTCAAGAGCACATTTCCCACGGTCAACCCGATGGCCCACCCCATAAACCTCTCTTGGTTCGTACAGAGAGCCGATCCAGGACCGAACCACAGAGCACACACAACTGGACATTTGCCGGCGAGACCGGGATGGGATGGGGGGATGGGTGATCGAAGGCCCACGCACGAGACGGGTGACAGAGTTTGGGTCCGTCAACGCAGACGAGTTTGTATTAATTGGCGTGCATTCTTCCAAAAGGCTTCCGTGGGTCCTCCATGGTAAGCCGTATGATCCGATCCTGTCTTTCAACCTCGTGGCTAAGGGGTCTAGTGTCGATGTCGGGCGGTTTAAATGTGTTCTATTTTGAGATAGGGTAGCCATTGAAATGTTTGCTCTCTGCGTGCCATTGCACCGTCGGCCGAATGGCCCGGTGGACTTGTATTTGTCTGTCAGGATCCGCATGGCATGTGCAATGTCTTGGGCCGCGGTGAGGGTTGAGATGGGCTGTGGGAAATGATCAGGGGCCAGGCTTTGACCCATATTGTCCGACGAGATAAGGGGGGGGTAGGTTGGTTGACTTGCACAACACTGGACATCATGCCGTCTGATGAGATGAGATGAGCTGACCGCAGCTGGTCCAGGGGTTGCAAAGTGAATGTGCTGAACATGTGGGGGTGAATGATGATGATCTGACAGCTCCTTTCCAAGCCCAAGCCAGGTTCGAGAATCAATCGTGCGAGGATTTGGCGCTGTCATGCAGATTGAGCAACCCGAGGAAACAGCTCGCTCGTCAATTGTAGGTGCATGCCCAAGATGCCCTATGGTTTGCCCCCCAAGTTCCAAAACCAACCGTCGAAAGGCCAAACTGTTGGGTTAGCGCATCCAACCTTGATGGCCCGACGCTTGGGTTCCGATGCCTGGGTTCCGATCCGGGCTGGCACGGCGACACTGAGGATGACGTCTCGGAGTTACATAATCAGTATCCATTCACTCGAAACGTGCCTCAGGCCTGACTCCCTACCTGCCCGTTTGCCCATGCGAATCGTCCAATTCCGTCGTCACCAAAGCGTACCACGTGACTCGCACCAAATTCGCAGCCTCGAAATCTGATTGACCAAGTGCCTCGCACCTGCAGGAAGGCCCTACTCCCGGTCGAACCCAGGTACTTCTCCCGCTAGATTACACCGCAAAGTGACTTCCGCCTTGCCCCCCGGACCAAAGAGGCACCACCTAGGACAGGACAACCTCTCTACCTTGACTGTGTACCAACTGCACCGCGGCGACCAGCATCGCGAACGACCTCCCGCCTTCGACGACCACTATCCCACGCCACTCGGTACCGTTCGACGCGCGCACCTCTTGCCTCGATCGACGCGACTTGCAGCCTTACCTCCTGCCTCGCTGCCACCCCTCTCATTCTTGCATTTCGCCGCTATAGTGAGTTCTGCCTCGTCATCCCTCACGCCGCAGTATAACCCTCCCGCCACTCCACTGTCTGAGGCCTACGCCTTGCCCTGCCCACCTGTTTCTGCTGCTTAGTACGACGACGCGTCCTATTCGGCGAACACTCCGACTCGCGATCCGCAACAAGCCCCGGGATCTCGACTGCCCTCCTTGCCTAACCACCACCCGAATTCGACCCAACCCTGTGACGACATCTTCGCTAACCTGCCCTCTCTATCATTCTAGCCCCACAGACCTGGCACCTTCTCTCCCTCTTACTCACTCTCTCGCTCTCTCCGAACCAGCCCAGCTGCTTGACCTGCCCATGGTATCAACGTCCTCAACCTGCTCCCCGGCAGACTCCTGATATGCCTGCCAACCAACGCCAGCCGGCGGCGCAGCCTCCGCCATCGCCTAACGCCAAGGCCACGGCCAGGTACACGAACAAGGATGGCTCAAAGATCATCACCGTACCCAAGTCTGCTCAAAGCACCGATGCTTCCCAGCCCTCCACGCCGACGACCACGACCAAGGCCCCCGTGTTACCAGCGACGAACGGGACCAGCCCCGTCGATCAGGAACCCGCCCCAGCGGTCAATCGTAAAAAGCAGAAGAGGCGAGCAAAGCTTGCTGCCAAGGCCGCTGCCGAGCAGGCGGCAGCTGCGACGAACACAACTTCTGAGCCCGTGCCTCCGACCACGCCTTCCGCCGCGCCGAAGCCCAGCCCATCCACTCGCCAAGATGAAGTGGAGCCCGAAGCGACCGATGAGGAGGAGGATAGGGAAGGAGACAATCACGCCAATACCAACGGCACGACGTCTGGCAAGTCAAAAAAGTCCAGGAAGAAGAAGAAGAAGAACGGCGTCGCGCAAGCCGCTGCCGACGATCCCCAATCAGCCAATGTCCCGCCGCCTGCCACAGAATCCCACCCGCTCCCACCACGAGGCCCTGGTATCTCCAAGGAGAAGATCTGGAACACGAGCTCACAGGAGGAGCGAGAGCGGATCAAGGAGTTTTGGCTTGGCCTCGGTGAGGAGGATCGCAAGTCGTTGGTCAAGGTCGAGAAGGACGCTGTGCTGCGCAAAATGAAGGAACAGCAAAAGCACACGTGCAGCTGCACCGTCTGCGGCCGCAAGCGTACCGCCATAGAAGAGGAACTGGAGGGCCTGTACGACGCGTACTATGAGGAGCTCGAACAGTTTGCCAACCAAGCCGATGGTCCTCCGCTGCCGCGCGACTTCCCGATACGCGGCCGCATAGCGAGTGCCTACGCAAGGCAACCGCCGTCACGGGGTCGCATAGTTGAACACGTCGGGGACGACGAAGACGACGAGGAACTTGACTATAGCGGCGAGGAGGACGACGAAGAAGAAGACGAAGAGGACGTTGACGAGGACGACGACTATAGCGAAGACGAACCTCCAGAAGATGTCCATCCTCATGACCGCGACATGGCTGACTTCCTGACTTTCGGTAACAGCCTACAAGTCAAGGGTATGCAGCTCCTCGACTCTCTCCTCTGCAGTTATGGTAACATGGACTTAGGTGGCATACTCACCGTTGCGGATGACCTACTCAAGAACGACGGCAAGCGCTTCATCGAAATGATGGAACAGCTGGCCGAACGACGCATGGCTCGCGAGGAGGATGCCCGAGATGCCCGCGCCTTTGGTCACCCCGCCGCGAACGGCACGTACGGCGGTCACACCCATCCTCCGCCGGAAGACGAATACGACGACGAGGATGAGGATGATGACGAGTATGACGATGATAGTCAGGACGAGGGCTATGATGATGAAGAAGTGAGCTCCAGTCACCATGCGCATGATCACAGTCACGGTACTGAGCATTATTGTTGCCATCATCAGGACACCATGACCGAGGAACAACGCATGGAAGAAGGCCGCCGCATGTTCCAGATCTTCGCGGCCCGCATGTTCGAGCAGCGCGTCCTCACGGCGTATCGCAACATGGTCGCCCAGCAACGGCAGAACAAACTGCTAGAAGAGCTCGACGAAGAGCAACGACAGGATGCTCAGCGGAAGGCCAAGAAGGCCAAAGACGCCCAGCGACGCAAAGACAAGGCCGCCCTGAAGAAGCAGGCCCTGGCCGAAGACAAGGCTCGCCGAGAGGCTGCCAAGGCAGCCGAGGAGGCAGCACGACTGGAGGAGCAGCAACGACGAGCCGAGGAGCAGCGGCAAAAGGCCGAGGAGAAGCGACGAAAGAAGGACGAGCAGAAACGACTGGAAGAAGAAGACCGTCAGCGTAAGGAGGCTGAGCGCCAACGACGAGCCCAGGAGCAGATGGACAAACGCGCGGAGCAAGATCGCAAGGTGCGTGAGGCTAAGGAGAAGGAGAAGAGGCTCAAGGATGAGGCCCGCCTTCGAGATAAGGAGGTCAAAGAGCAGCGAGAGAGGGAACACCGCGAGAAGAAGGAGCGCTTGGAGCAGGGGAAGCTGGACAGGGAGGCCAAGGCTCGCACAGACCGGGAGGCGAAGGCCAAGGTCGACAAGGATATCCAAGACCGCCGCAAGCAGGACGAGAAGGCCACGCAAAAGACGGCCGCACTTGCTGCCGCCGCTGCCGCCGCCGCCGCTGCTCCAACGCCCGTCCAGGCTCCAGCACGGCGGGCATCCCACAACCTCGTGCCTGTCCCAGCCGCCTTGCCGCAACACCCGCCGAACCAGGCTTCCTTTGCGTCGCCGAAGATTGCGGTCGCGACGCCTGCTCTGCCAAAAGCTCCGACGCCCATTCGACCGAAGAACGCGCCCCAGTCTCAGGATGTCAGCACCGGCAGCTCCGTTATCGGCTCACAGGCCTCCCAGGCCGGTTCAGCACCGAGCCAGAACCCGTCACCACACTCGGCAACTCCAGCACACCCAAGCCCGCACCCCTTTATCGCCCAACGAAAGGGCAGCGGTGTTCCTCCGCTGCAGCCACAGTCCGTATCTCCGCCACACGCCAAAGGCCCCAACGCAGGACCGTTTGGCATGCCTCCCGGCATCTCTCACCCGCCTGGATTCCCGATGCCACCTCCGGGTCTGGCCCACCGACCTCCGCCACACGATCCCATGTTTGCTCAGTTTGGAGGATTTCGGCCGCCCCCTGGCATGGGAATGCCTGGACCTCCAGGTCTCAACGGCATGAATGGGCCTCCGGGCAGGGGTTTTCCGATGCCGCATCCGCCTCCAGGCTTCTCTCAGCCTTTCGGCGAGCCCATGCCGCCGAATGGACCTCCTCATGTATCGCACACGCGCCAATCGTCAGGCGGCTTCGAAAGCGGCCCTTCCATGGCTTCGCAGCCCATAGGACGGCCTGCGCCGATTGGTCGACCAGGCAGCGTAGTCCACGGGCAGGGATTAGACCAGGTAGATGATGTCTCCGACCAGCACCTTGGCAGCAGCGCCTTGCTCGACGATTCGGAGGAGCCCATTCGGGCGGCCACTACGAGACAACTACACCAGGCACCTGGACCTGGTCCTCGACAGGCTTTCCCCAGCACACCGTTTGGTATGGACGCCGGCATGCACCTGCAGAGTAATCCATGGAGTAACCCGTCGCCCTTCGCCGCGTTTGGCCCGCCGCCCGGTCTTGGTGGCCCAACCTGGGGCAACCCTTTGGCAGCTATTCCGCCCATGCCATCTCTGGCAAATCTCCGGACAGGAGGCAATCCTCGGTCTGTCGCCGTGCGACGCATGCTCTGCCGCGTTTGCAAGGAGTTGCAAGGCAGGGGAGTGGACGGCACGGACGGCTTCGCGGACTTGAATATCATCATGAGCGAGGTGGAACAGCTCAACCGCATGGAAGGCGTCAGCCGTGAGGTCATATCGGAATCGGAGATTCTAGACCTCGCAGAGACAGAGGGTACGCCACACAACGGCGGAGGCGTTTTCGATATCCGCAAGGATGTCAGGGGCCCCGGCAAACATGCGGTACGTTGGATGCCAGACCTCGTCGGCGACATGGCACAGCCACCTCGTGCCGTGGGCGAAATTGGCAGCCCGGTCATTGGCACCGGTCATCCTGCATTCCCCATGCGAGGATCGTAGGAGCGTCCGTCCACGGGGGGTTCTGCTACGACGTGCTCCTCCTCAGAGGAAGCAGCCGGGGGGGAGGCGCCCAGAGCGAAGACGAAACATCGGCCGCTCTTCAGGGCGATACAGTCAGCCATGCGCATGCGACGGTACTCGAGTACGTCGGGAGACGATGAGAGCCAGGAGGCTGGGATGAAGGGCTGAAGGGCAAAGCGAGTTATGTGCATCCACGCATCTTCTACTTGGTAGCCAAGCAAACATCGAGGCCGACATGAGATCGGCGCTGCAGATGTGTGGCGCTGCAAAGGATGCGAAGAGAGCATTCTGTGTGAGCATTGTTGTCTAGAGTAGGCAGAGCCATGTATGAGGATTCTAGTCAACACGACTGAACAACTTTTTCAAGCATTGTGAAATGGTGTACAAGGTGCTGTGGGGTGTGATGAGACTGGCGGTAGTCTGGACAACATCAGCTGGCAGCGGGACTGAAATAGGCAGGCAACTCAACATCTCGATTCCGAGAGGATGGTGTTGTCACGGCAAAGAGTTTGGAATTCGTGGACACCAGATGCGGGGAACTCAATATCTTCCTGCATGGGAAATGAGTATGAAGCAACCTAGCCGCCCGGCTAGCTCAATCGGTAGAGCGTGAGACTCTTAATCTCAAGGTTGGGGGTT